GCGGCTGCCATGGTGACCCTCCTGTCATTAGCGCTGCCATGCGGAAAGCCAGAGTTGATGCCCAGGCCTCCAGCCCCATCGCCAAGACGACCGCAACTGCACCTGCTTCCCGGCAGCCTATTAGACCTTGCCACCTGCTCAGCTTCAAGGCTGTTGTCTCAGAGTGGAGCAGACATTCCGGGAACAGAGGAGTAGACGGCTGGGTCACTAGGGTCGCCACGGCGGCGGGGGTGGGGGTAGGGGCAAGACTACCAGCACCCTTCCTGCTGCTTCACACCCCGCATGGACAGAGTGGGCCTTCCTCCTGGAGCCCACGCTGAGACCAACATGTAGACCAGGGGCTTGAGGGGGCCAGCTGTTCCTGCTCTGGGATGGGATTGCACAGCCACCCACACTCTTGGGTTGGGGAGACCCTGCAGACAGTGGAGCTGGCTCAGGGCGGGGGGAAGGGATGGTGTCTCACACTCACAGCACTTCTCAGTTGGGACTGGTACCTTTATAGCATGGCTGGCGACCACCAGACGGGCTGGGATTAGTGCGGAACGAGGAGGGCTCTGAAGGCAGCCGTGGGCCCCGGGATCGCAGGGTCCAGCCCACGGAGCGAGAAGCACCTGTGAGCTGCTCCAAATGGACACACCACACGCTGCTCTCACTGAGGCAGTTTCCCATTTGACCCTTGCCAGCACAGCTGTGGTGGGGACGGCCGCCCCTGGGCAAGGGAACATAAGGGGCATCTGCAGGCTGCTCTGCCAGGGCCAGTGCTGCACACAGCTTACAGGTGGTGCTGCCTCCTCAGACAGCTTCACCAATGTAATCACATCTCCTGATTTCTGTTTTTAAAAAGACTCAAAGGCAGAGTGACAGAGAGGACACACATATACACATAATCCTGCATCTGCCAGTCCACTCACGAAATGGCCACAACAGGTGGGACTGGCCCAGGTTGGAGCCAGGAGCCTGGAACTCCATCTGGGTCTCCCATGTTGGTGCCAGGGGCCCAAGCCTTTGGGCCATTGTCAGCTGCTTCCCCGGGCACATCAGCAGAGCTGGACCGGCACTCTCGTGGCCGGAGCTGGGCTGACATTCTCTTCTAGGGTGCCGATGACACCAGCCACAGTGAATCTACTGCACCGCAATGCCGGCCCTGACACCTTGTCACTGTTAGGTCCTGGTGGCCTCCTGTCCAGTCCCGGAGCTGGAGCGTCGTGGCATGGCTCATAGATCTTTTTAGTGCTGTTTGGATTGTACCACACACTTTTCCTCATGTGTATGGTTTGCTGCCTTTCTTCTTAACTGCTACAATTGTTTCCATTAAACTCTTCTCTACATATAGATTTGTAGATGGGCCCGGCTTGATAGCCTAGCAGCTAAAGTCATTGCCTTGCAAATGCTGGGATCCCATATGCACCTGTTCTAATCCTGGTGGCCCTGCTTCCCATCCAGCTCCCTGCTTGTAGTCTGGAAAGCAGTCAAGGACAGTCCAAAGCCTTGGGACCCTGTACCTGCATGGGAGACCTGGAGGAGGTTCCTGACTCCTGGCTTCTGATTGGCTCAGCACTGGCCATTGCGGCAGCTTGGGGAGTGAACCAGTGGACGGATCTTCCTCTTTGTCTCTCTTCATCTCTTTATATCTGATTTTCCAATAAAAATAAATAAACCTTTTTTTTTTTAAAGACTTGATAACAGCTCCCTTCATCAAACAGAAATTCTACTTCTATGAATTTCATTTTACTTTCTTGCTTTGGGAATCTCAATAAAATTATTTCACTCCAAAATTGTAAAACTGTTCTCCCACATTTCCTTCTAATATCCCTCTTCCCCGACTCCAAGTACCTGATCTGTTCCCTGGTCTCTACCTTCCTGGGACTGTTTGGTGCACTCAGCCCCCCTTCCCCATGGCACACCTGTCCTCACCTGCCCCCCGGCCACGCTGATGCGCTCGGGATCCTGACGCTGGTTACCAGGTATAGCACGAGGCATGAGTCTCGCGGGGCTGCTCGCCAGGCACCCTGCTCTTTTCCCCAATCTGTAACATGCACCACACACCCAATTTGTATTCCACTGCTGGATTTCTCCATGGTAAAGTGAAGGTTCTGCTCTGGGTGCCTGTGAGCCAGACCAGAGTGTCCCGGCTGAGTCAGGACACTGTGATACTGTGGCCACAAGGAGACAGACGGATGGGTGAGGCATGCAGGCCACCTCCCACCCATCATGGTCTGCTGGGAGCCTGGGGGAGCTCCTGGTTGGCCCCAGGTTCTGCTGAGATGGATGGGAGAATCCCAACCCTTCCGTTGGTGGGTGGGGAGATGGCTGCAGCTGCAGTGGGCTCCCATGCATCACGCCCCTTTTCCTCTGGGGTACTCCCTTCTAAGCTGCAGGGTGGGGAGACAAGGGCCATGGTTTGGGCTCTGCCCAAGACGTTTGGGGTGGTCATCAAGTCTGGAAGAAGCTTTAGGGAACTGGGCGGTCTGTGCACAAGGCAGCTGTCCGAGGCTGCAGACATCGGCCCTAAGATGGCCAGCTCAGGAACTGGGGTGCTCACGGAGGAAGCCTGCTGTCACCTCCCTCCTGCCGGCCTCAGCGGCTGCCTAGCAGCAGAGATGGCCACGTCAGCAGGGCAACCTGACACCCTGAATAAGAAAACAAGAACTGCCGAGAAGAGCTCCACTGGCTTCTTCCAGCCCCGCCTTATGATTTTTGTCTTCTATTTCATTCCTGCATCTAGCTGTGTGTCTGCTCCCTCTTCGCCGTTCCATGCTACGGGTCTGCAGGGCTCCTCCTCTGCCTATCGGGAACAATCTGATGCCAAAGCAACGTGGCACTTGGCCTGCCTCTGCCTCAGGTGCTGCAACTTTCTCCACCAGCACCACATTCGTTCGGAGAAGGGACAGGGGTCATTGTAACTAGTGTCCAAGAAAACACTCCGGGCTTTGCCGGAGAATTGGGGGCGCAGGTCGCCTCCTGTTTCAACCCTTCCGCCAAAGGGGAGGGGCAGAGGGAGTTCACCTACACAATCATCCACACTGCTCCACGATGGACCCAGTTTGTACTGGTCCTGTCTGGGGCTTGCTGACTTCCTTAGCTTTCTGCCAATCACACTGTCACTACGCTTCTTTCCTGGGTTTTGTCCTGATTGGACGGCTTGCTGAATGACCAGTGCTGACTGGCTGAAGCTACTATCATCTGTGAACCAAGGGCTGCAGCAATAAAGGTGCTGCTTGATCAGTCCAGGCCTGGATGCTCCAGCATGCTGCTTTTGTCAGCTGGGAGGCGGGTCCTGGTGTCCAGCACACGCTCCTTGCAAGGACTTGCCTTGGTAGCCACCGCACGGTTTGTCAGGCTTCTCCGGCAGTTCTCACCCTTCTCCCTTTCTGCCCTCACATGGCCATGGGAGATGACTGGGCAGGGTGGGGACGAGGGGTTGGAGCAGGGACACCCCTAGTCCCCTCGATCCCTCTTTGCCTACTCCACAGACCTCCTACCTTCTGTGCAGGGCAGTCATGAACAGGAAAAGCCATCAGCCCAAGGGCCACCTGTCCCAGCCTGCTCCAGGTATGTATCCGCCCCTAGCTAAAATCATCACAGCTTCTGGGATGCCCTGCAGGGAGCCAGTCCCCACTCATCTGAGGGCTGGTGAATCATGGGGGGGGGCCTGGAGAACCCCATGGGAACTGGGCCCGGCAGGGGGGCTGTGGAGATACTCTGCCATAGCACCACATCTGTACCTGAGGCTTGGGGACCAACCATCATGTTGATGGCCATTTTCAGGTCCTCATTCCCATGGCAACTGTGGAGGCCCACGGTTTACAGTGACACAGGTGGCCAAGCTCCCACCTGGACCAGGACTCCTTGGTTCTGCCCTTGGTCCCTGGGGTCTGCTGGAGCCTTGTCCAGTGGTGCACACTTAGCTCTCAGCACAGCTGCAACTCCCCCTCCCTGCCTTCACCGCAAGAGGATCCCGTCTCAGCACGGACTGTCCCTGTGACAATGGCCTGAGCCATACACTGTGCTGGATCAATCTCAGCCGCATGCCTGGGGGAAAGCTACACGGCCGGATTGAGAAGGTCAGGACTTTCCCTCTTCTGTGGTTTGCGAGGCTGAGTGCACCTTGGGCGACAGGTCTTGCGGTCTGAGCCGCAGGAGACCGCTGCAGACATCTGAAGCCTATGTGTGAAGTGCTGGCGCCACCTGCCCCTGGCTCAGGGGGCCTGAAGGAGGCAGGCCAGAGGCCGTGCCAGGTGTGAGGGACAGCCAGCTGACCGCATGTTGTCCCTGAGGTTACCCTCAGAAACGGTTCTCCCCTGTCCCGTACGTGGCCTGGGTACCACCAAGACAGAAGGGGAATCTCCTTCCATCCTCTGCTCTTGGGAACGCCCACGAAGCCCGCAGGTGGTCGCAGCGGCTGTGGCTGCGGGAGTGCTTAGGGCAACGGTTTGGTTCTCCCCAAGGCCTCCGGTGGAAGCCCGGCCCGGGGTGCTGCCTCCCCACTCCCGCCCCAGGTTTTTCTTGCCTAAAGCACCCACAGTGTCTTCTCAAACCTGGCCTGTGTGCCACACTTCCCCTGCTGCTTCCTACTCCGTTGCCCGCCGCCGGGCACCCGCAGCTCACGTCGGGTCTCCCACACCTGAGCCATCCCTGCCACCTGGCAGGAAGCTGGCCCCAGGCCCTGCGACGCGGGATGAGCTAGAAGGGAGCGGAGGCGGCCGGGGCAACGCGGGCGGAGCTTGGGCGGTGCTGGCGCCCACGTGGCTCCCGGGGATGAGGGTGGCCGACTGCCTACCGCGCCGGAAGTGCTCCCATGGGCCCCGCGGCTCCTTTCGCTACGTCGCATTTCCGGCCGCGGCGTTCTGCATCCGGGGTACAGGTACCCGCCCCGCTGGCCTCCGCCTGCGGGGCTGCGGCACGGTCCCTGCCCGGAACCGGAAGCGGCCTGATCCCGGAGGCGGAAGCGGCGGCGACGGCTCGGACAGCAGCTGGCCGTGGTGGGCGGCGGGCAGGCCGGGGGCGGGCAGGCCGGGGGTGGCCGCACGGCTCCGTGGGAGCCGGCCCTGCGGCCGCGCCGCCATGAAGCTGTACAGCCTCAGCGTCCTGTATAAAGGCGCGCCTAAGGTGGTGCTGCTCAAAGCTGCGTACGACGTGTCCTCCTTCAGCTTCTTCCAGAGGTCCAGGTGAGCGGGCCGACCACCGGCTACGCGGAGAAGCCGGGACCCGGGTGCTGGAGGTCTTGGGGATGCCGCCAGCTCTGGAAGAGGGCCGGGAGGGGCGGAGCGGGGGTCCAGGAGGGACGGGGGTCTGGGAGGGGCGGCAGGGGCAGGGATGGGGAGAGGCAGGGGGCAGGAGAGGGACAGGGGTCCAGGAAGGACGGGGGTCCAGGAGGGACAGGGGTCCAGGAAGGACGGGGGTCCGGGAGGGGCGGGGGTCCAGGAAGGACGGGGTCGGCGGGCAGTGAGGGGGTAGTGGGTGGTGGGCGCGGAGGGGAGGGACAGGGAGGTGGCGGGCCCTGAGGGGCAAGTGGCAGGGGGCAGGTGAGGGTTCTCGTGGCCCAGGGTCCTAATCCGGAGCTCAGCCCCTTCCCCCAGCCCAGGCCTCTTCCTGTTTGGTCCTAGAGCATGGCCCTGCCCTGTTTGGGGTCCTCATTGTTGGTGCCCATCGTCCGTAGTGTGTTTAGTCAGATGCTCTGACCCAGTGGGCGGAGGTCCACAAACGTGTGTAAAGCCACACCTTGTTGGCCACCATGGCTGCCACTCCGCAGTGGACGGTGAGGGCCATTGGGGTGTAGTGGCTTCCATAAACCACATCCTTGAGGCCCCAAGAGGTGACACTGTAGCCACCAGGACTTAAATCCTGAGAGTCCAAGAGCACCTGATCCTGAGCCCCCGGGGGATGTGGCTCCTGCCAGGCTTGGCAGTGAGGATGGTGTCAGGGTTACCTGTACAGGTGGCTGTAGTCCTGGAAGTCTGGAATCTCCAAAGAGACACCTGCATCCTGCTTCCTGAAAGACCGGGAGGCAGGCAGGAGACAGGGAAAACCTTTGAGTTTTTGGATTTTCGGGAAAACATAACTTTCCAGGGATACTATTTTGTTACTGTGTGTGTTGAAGTGATAAGATCAAGACCCCCAAGCCTATACATTGTAAATTCCTGTCACATGCTTTCTGTTTTGTGTCACTGCTAGCCCCAATCATGTACTTGCTTACTGTCATGTAGCTTTTGATTCTTTTACTATAAAACCCCACGATTATTTCAGTCGGGGTGCTTCTTGCTTATGGCAAGAAATTGCCCCTTGGACTAGACAACAAAATCATCTCACTTGTCTTGGAGCGTCGCTCCCGGAAGCCCAGCGGTGGAGGCATCACCTCGTGAGCTGGTGCAGGATCTTCCAGGGCTGGAGGACTGAGCCCTGGGACTGTTGGCACTGCTGGCTGCATCTGTGCAAGTAGCCATTGTCGTGTTGGAACTTTCTGCTCCTTTTTGTTAATTTTCTACTGTGGTAAAGTGCACACAGTAAGAGGTGGATATGTTAACTGTTTCTAAGTCCGCATTCAGCGGCATTGGAGCTCCCTCCCGCTCCCTCCTCCTCTGCAAAGCTGACTGCCCGAGGGACTTGGCTCAGTGAATTCTACAGGGCCTGGCGCCTTTCAGTGACACAGTTGTCCTCAGGGTTTTCCATGCTGTCCCACATGCAGAACTTTGTGCCTCCTGATTCTGCTATTGCCTATACAGTGTTCTGTTTCTCCCACACTGCTGGCGGGGGCAACACCTGTGCCTGGGTGTGGTGTGCATGCCACCTCAGAACCCCACTGCTTTGTCACTGCTGGACCTGTTGCATCATTTCTTGGCTCCCTACAGGTCCTTCTCAACACTTGCGGGGTGGCCTTGGGTCGGGTCCCCAAGCCAGTGTTTTTCTGTGCTGGAACTTGGCAGAGGTGCCGACTGACTTAGATCCACTTCCTCTTTGTTCGGCCTGGAGATTCCCTGGGCTTTCCGTGGCCTAGGCCCTCTGCTGCTGGGCGCAGCCATGCAGGTTCACTGCTGAGGGCCATCTCACACAAACCCCTCACTCTGTCCTCCCTGCCCTGGATGGGCAGCCTGCCCAGGGTTTACCACAGTTCTCTCTTGGTTTAATGACGGCCCTGCTATGAGTGTGGCCTGTCTGATTTTACAAAAAGGTTTTTTTTGTAAGGGAATATTACTTCGTAAGAGCAGTGTGCCAAGTGTTATGCCGAGTGCTCTTTGGGTACTAACTCCTTGAACTGCCACGGAGTCCTGATTTTACCCTTGAGCACAGAGCAGAGTGCTCTGAGTGCACTCTGTGTGGTGCCCTCACATGCCTTGTAAGGCGTGGGTGGGGTACGCTGGCCTGTGGCTGTAATTGCCATGAAGTCTTGTAGCCTGGCCCTGCCAAGGCAACCGCAGGCACGAGTGGGAATTCAGTAAACCTTCAGCAGGTCTCTGCAGATGATGATGCTCTTATCTGGCCATGAGTGATGTTCTACGTTCCCCCGTGGTCCTGGGCAGCAGGATGGTTCCCAGCCTTGGGCCAGACCTCCCCAAGGCTCCACAGGAGCCCGTGTGGGCTGTCAAGGCCAGCTGGGGCGCCCCTGTCCCTCTCCTGGGCTGCTCCCGAGCCAGTTCCCTCCCTCTAGATCCCTGGGACACACGTTCCTGTCTCCCTCAGCCATTGAGCTGCCTCCCACCGTCTTACCATGGCCAGCCCTTTCCCTTCTACTCCTCATCCCAGGAGGAGCTGCAGAGCAGGCCTGGCTCCCCATGGGCAGCTGTATGATACCACAGTGCCTGTTGTGGGGCACCGTTGTCCCTGGCCATGCTGCTGTGTCTGTCTAGTGCAGTTTGGGAAGTTAATGGGTCCCTAAGGGAAGGAGCCACATTGTGCTTCGTTAACCAAGAGCTCACTTGCTCCAAGCCTGCAGAACACGCCCCAAAAGTCTGCGAGTGCTTGTCGGGTGTGCCGGGCCATAGGCAGGCCTGTGTGTTGCTGCGGTTTGAGATGTTCTGAGTTTGTGTTCATGCAAGGTGTGTGTGCAGGAGAGACTGGGCTTGGGAGCGAAAGGAAGGAAAGCGGCGGCAGTGGCTTCTTGGTGTTGAAGCAGTCACCTTCCATTGTTGGGGACGAGGTCGCAGGAGAAGAGAGTGACTGTGCTGTCTCCTCAGTGTTCAGGAATTCATGACCTTCACGAGTCAGCTGATTGTGGAGCGCTCGGCCCCAGGCAGCAGAGCTTCCGTCAAGGAACAAGGTAGGTCATGGTTGTCGTCGCCCCACCCCGCCCTGGCTGCTGGCCGCTCTGTTGTCCTCCCTGTACAGGAGTCTGTGCCCCACAGAGCCCCTGAAGCTCAGCTTGGAGGGGGATGGCTTCATGCAGAAGAGGGTCCCTGTCTCGAGGTGCAGGCACAGTCCGTGTGTCACCCTGGTCCCAGCCCCTGCGGAGCAGTGGGCCTACAGACAGGAGGCTGCATGCTGAGCTGCTTGGGGTTCTGACCAGAAACCTCAACACCCACTGTGTTCTATTTTTCATAATTTAGGTTCTGTGTAAGAGTTGTTTTAAAGGCTTTTTGTTGCTTTTAGTTAATTTTCATTGGAAAGGCAGATTTACAGAGACAGGTGGATAGACAGAAGGATCTTCCATCTACTCGTTCACTCTCCATTTGGCTCTGATCCACAGCCAGGAGCCTCCTTGAGGTCTCCCACGTGGGTGCAGGGGCCCAAGGACCTGGGCCCATCTTCTGCTGCCCTCCCAGGCCACAAGCAGGGAGCTGGGTTGGAAGTGGTGTAGTCAGAACGTAAACATAAACCAGCACCCGTGTTGGATGCAGCACTTAAAGGTGGAGGATTATCCGTTTGAGCCTTCGCACCAGCCCCTAAAGGGTTGTTTTTTATTTGAGGAAGTACAGGGAGAGGAAGAGACAGAAAAAGTTTCCATCTGCTGGTTGGTTTACTCCCCAGATGGGCACAGTAGTTGGGGCCTGGCCAAACTGGAGCCAGGAGTTTCTTCCAAGTCTCCCACATGAGTGGCAGGAGCCCAGATGTTTGGGTCACTTGTTTTTTCCCAGGCACATTAGCAGAAAGCTGGATTAGAAGTGGAGCAGCTGGGACATGAAGCAGTGCCCCTGTATGTTACTACTGTTGCAGGTGGCGGTGTTAGCCGCTGCGCCACCACACAGCATCATGTGCCCTGGTGCAGCCCCTCCTGGCTGATGACTGACAGCCGCGGCATCTAGGTCATGCTGAGACCTTGGTCCTTAGGAACGAGGCCCTGGCACCCAGGACCTGCCTTCCTGGTCCCCTGCCCAGGGTGGAGTGGGCTACGCAGAGGCCTGGGAGGCTGCCCAGCCTGCCCAGGGTCTGCCCCATTGGGGAAGGAGGCTGGGGCCAGGCTTGACTGGAGCTCCAGGGCATGGTGCCGTGCTGCTCTCAAGGTCATGCTGTAGGCTGTGCCTTCTGTAGCTCTGGAACTGGCATGTATGTGAGACTGCCGAGTACTTCCTGGTACTGTGCCAGGGTGCCAGTGGCCGGCCTCACTTGGTGCTTTTGGAGCTTTGTGGTGACTTTGTTTCCATAGGCAAGAGCCGCTATGTGACACTTTGATCTGTGTGTACTATTCTGTCTTCAGAGTACCTGTGTCATGTCTATGTGCGGAGTGACAGTCTTGCGGGGGTGGTCATTGCTGACAGTGAGTACCCGTCTCGGGTAGCCTTCACCTTGCTGGAGAAGGTGAGTGTGTGCTTTGGCCAGTTTGGCCCTGAAGGCGAGCCTGGGACTTAGTGCACAGTGCCTGAGGCCCTGGCTGTCATCCTTGTCCCTGGGCTCCCTGTCCAGAGCGGTTGTGGCCCTTACACCTGTGTCCAGGCTGTCAGCTGCAGCTTCCCTTCTGGGATGGCCCCTCCCCAAGTGCTGCAGCTCCCAGCCGTGGCCTGGCATGCCGTGGGCTCAGTGTCTATGTGTCATTAGGTCCTCCTTGTGCAGCTGATAAAAGCTGGTCCAAGGCAGGCTTCCACCTGCCCTGAGGCACTAGAGCCTTGGCAGGAGGGTGGGTGGCACTTAAATTCACAGGACCCGTCCCCTTGGGGAAGAACGACTTGGGAACATTAACCAGCCAGCACCCTTTCTCTGGTCAAGCTAGTTTAAAATGGAAGCACCTTTCTCATTGGCCAAGTGAGGGCCCCTAGCAGAGCTGTCCAAGTGACTCAGATGCCAGAGGCCCCTTTGTCTTGCAGGTACTGGATGAATTCTCCAAGGAGGTCGAGAGGATCCAATGGCCGGTGGGGTCCCCTGCCACAATAGAATACACAGCGCTGGATGCTCACCTGAGCAAATACCAGGTAGGGAGACTGGACAGTGGGCTGCCTGCTCGGGACGTCCTCAGGCCAGTGTTTGCCCTTGAACCCTGGGTGCAGAGAGCCAAGTCTGCCTTCCTCAGGTCTGGGAGCCGGGCTCCATGCAGGCCTGACTGGCGTCCTGGGTGTGAGCCTTGTTTCCAGGGAGCCACTCCAGGTCTGACTTTGTTATTCTTGGCTCTTTTCTAGAACCCTCGAGAAGCAGACCCTATGACTAAGGTGCAAGCTGAACTCGATGAGACCAAAATCATTCTGGTAAGCAGGAGAGGACCCTGTGTGCGTCCGCACTCCTGAGGTGGGGCCTGGGAGTCTGCATGCTGCAGAAGCTTCTCGGGCATCTACCCTGAGGTCTGCGGACCTTGCCTGAACGGTGTGACTTAGGAGCAAACAGCAGAAGGGACAGTGCTGAGCTGCTGTGTCTGTCTCCTCCATACCTGAGGAGCTCTTGGCCGCTGGGGTGCTGTGACTGCGCGTGTTCTGCCCAGGCCCCGGCCTGTGTCTGCTGCTGCAGTGTGGCTGTGAGCAGCTCAGGCCCTGGCCCTGCCTTAGCACCAGGTGAGCGTTGGTGCCGGCTGGCAGCGTGGCCTCACTGCCGCAGGAGACTCTGCCCGAATGTCTCTTACCTGGTTCACTTCACGCTGGACATGGAAGCCCCCCATTCGAGGGTAACTACTTCTGTGCCATTTTACCCAGGAGCAGCTGCTCTGGCCTGGCCGCCCAGGGGTAGCTGTGAGCTGCCACTGCCACCCCGACTCTGACAGTGGAACTTTCCTCAGGCCTCCACCCTGAGCCCAGGCTTGGGACTAGTGGCACTAGTGCTTAGGCTGGAGCCCCATAGGGAAGCAGAGACAGTGCTGTCCGTATCAGTGTGGCACACGCTTGAGTGTGTGTGTGTGTGTGTGAGAGAGAGAGAGAGAGAGAGAGAGAGAGAGAGAGAGAGAGAGACTAAATTTTGTAGCAACCATAATCCAACACAGTAAAGGGAAAATAATGGGATTGCATCTGGCCTGCTGTGTCTCCTGTGGTCTTCTCACCGTGGTAGGTGGTATTGAAGTCCTGGTGCTTGCCATGTGCTGGATCTCAGTGTCTGAAGCCCAACATATTTGCGCCTGACATGTTTGGGTGTACTCTTGGTCACGGCTGAGCACCCACTGCATTGGCTTCATGTGGCCATGCCCAGGCACTCATGCCCTTGGTGACTGACACAGCACCAGCTTCCTCGCAGGCTGGAGGCCGCCGCGGGTGAAACCGGGGTTGGGAAGCTCGTCCCCAAGTCCCGGGCCTCCCTCCTGTTCTCCCGTCACCACGTGGGGCTGTGTCTCTGTCCTCAGGTTTCATTTGCATAAGGTCACATTTATGGGTTCTGGATGGCTGTGCATTTTGGGAAGCCACTGTGTAGGCCAGTATAGCCATGCCATGCTTGGCTGCAGCTTTCTCTTCCCAGAAACTGTCATACACCACACAACACTCCCAAATCAGGGGCAGTGCACAGGTACGAGGGCATGCGCTGTGTCGTGGGAGTGCCCTCAGTCCTGCACCTGCTGGGATGCTGGCCCTCCTGGGAGTGGGTCTGACCTGTAGAGGTAATTTCTTTTGAAGGAAGCAGTGTGGGTGCTTGCCCTGACATGGAACTGCTTCGAGCAGCTCGGGTCAGCAGTCACCAAGCAGAGTGAGCAGTTCTGTTCTCTCTCTGTCCAGCACAACACCATGGAATCGCTGCTGGAGCGAGGCGAGAAGCTCGATGACCTAGTGTCCAAGTCAGAAGTGCTGGGAACTCAGTCCAAGGCCTTCTACAAAACTGTGAGTCCCGCGCTGGCCTCCAGAGGGTGCTGCACACAGATCCTCCCAGCTTTGTGTCAGGGGAGGTGAGCTGCCCTGCTCATGCAGTGGAGACCAAAGCCCAGACCCACACAATGAGATTGCTTCACTCAGGCCCGCCTGAGCTGTGAGAAGCCTCCCTCCGCTAACCCTGTGCCAACTGAGCCCCAGCCCAGCCCCAGCCCTCCCCCAGCCCTGCTCCAGCCCAGCCCCAGCCCTCCCCCAGCCCTCCCCCAGCCCTGCTCCAGCCCTCCCCCAGCCCAGCCCCAGGCCTGCCACTTTATCTGGCAGACATGGAGTCCACCAGCACTCCCCTGCCCCAGGTAGGCAAGGTTGAGTTAAGGTCTAATCATCAGGGTTCACCCCTGTTTTTCTGTCTGTGAGTATTTGGCTTACGATGCCGGCTGTTCACCTTTCTATTTAGAAAGGCCCTCAGACCTTCAGTTAACTTCCTGTTTACCTTGGCGCAGAGCTTCCTGCCTGCTGCCCCATCTTGGGCCAGTGTTCACCTGTGTTTGTTGTTGGCTGTTGGTGGGGACCACAGACCCTGTTTGTTTCTACACAGCAGCTTTTGTGTGTGAGTCAGAACAAGGTGGCTAGGTGGGGTGAAAAGGAGAGTCTGACCAGAAAGGGGAGAGGAGGTGGTAGCTGCCCTGCAGCCCTGGGCAGGCATGTCTGTCGTGTGGAAACCGCCTTACGGGAGTAGGCAGCGCAGGTGGTGTCAGGGTGAGTGGCTGAGGACTGGCGCAGCAGGAGCTGTACTCATGTTGAGTGCACTGATGGGGTGGGTGGGAAAGGACGGGGCCCTTCAGCAGCTCCTCTTGTTTCTTTCAAGGCCCGGAAGCAGAATTCGTGCTGTGCCATCATGTGACGCAGCACGCGGCCGTGCTGGATCCCGCCTTCAGCACGTCAGGACCACAGCCCGGATGGGACAAGACGGCCTGGGAGAGGCTGCGTCATGGCAGCCTGGCCATTGTTTTTCTGGAGTTTCCAAAAGGACCCAAGGGAAGGTGGAAGGGTGGGAAACATTCATTCACATGTCTGGTGGGTTTTTCTGTGGCGGGGAGAATTGAGGTCCCTCATGGTGTATTTTGGGCAAATGAAACCATAAACTGAGTGGCTCCTGCAGATCCTGAAGGGCTGGTTCTCGGCTGCCCATGACGTCCAGGGCCAGCTCTTGTTTGATCCGGGAATGTCTGCATTTCATTTGTGCATTAATAACACTAACTCTGCGGGAAGTGGGGTGGGGGGCAGGAGCATCCTGGGATGGGCTGGGGACGGGGCTGAGTCTCAATGCCTGTGAAAGCCGTTGTAGGGGTGAGGCAGCCGAGCATGGTAGCTGGAGCCTTGCCAGGGGCCAGCACCCGGGCCTGCGTGTGCTGAGGGCCTCATCCAGACCTCAGATGTGTTCTTAGGGGATGGGGAGTTCCGTTGTCAGCCCTGGAGCGGGACATGGTCGGCTGGGGTTGTCTCTCAAGGGGCGATCTCACCACAGGTGCATTCAGCTGCCTTGACTTGGACTTGACTTTGGACTGGCATATAGAAGGAGCAGCAGCTGCTCTTGGAGCTACTGTGGCTGCCATGGGGGTCTGAGCCCATGGGTCTTGCCTTCAGCACCTGCAGTTGGAGCTCCTGTACTCACCTGTGGTCACATGTAGCTGTAGGGGTGCCCTTCCCGCAGGGCAGCTACTGGAGCCATGGACCTGAAACATGCTGGCTCCCTTGTGCCAACACTGCGTTCCAAGCTGCCTCTTCATGCCCCACCGTGCTTGGTGTGCACCTCCGGGGTTCATTTCCCTTGGATCTTCTACTGGCTGGTGTCTTCTCAGAGGTTTGGACCAGTGTGGTCTCGTCTCCTGGGGCCTTGCTCTGAGCCTACCACACTGCCCTGGCAGCTTCTGCTGTGCCCACTGATGTCCAACAGGGTGAGGGTTGGCATGAGGGCAGAGGGGCCCCTATATGTGCTGAGGGCCTCCTGGCTGGCCTGCCTACAGCTGCCTTTTTTCTCTGGTCCCTGGACTGGCCAGGGGGCCCTGCCTGCCTGCAGTGGCCTGCTGGGTCACTATTGCTCCAGGATGCCCCATACCCAGCCCATGCCCTGGTGCCTGCAGAAGGAGCGGTGGGCAGGCAATGGATGGGAGGCGGGCAGTCAGCTTTGCCAGCATCTGGGTGCCCTCCCACAGTCTCTGGCCCAGCAGGGCAGTGTTGGGGGCAGGGTCTGACTTTGGCCCTGTGGTTGATGGGCCATACTGCCTCATATTTCCTGCTCCCTGCTGTGTTCTGACGTCAAATCATCGGTGAGTGTGTATTTTAATAACTGGTGCGTAACTTCCTCTGTGTTCTGTTTGAGAGGATCTGGTTTGGATAAAACCGTCTTCTGAAATTCCAAGTGCTTGTGTGCTTTTTCCCAGCCTCTGGAGGACCTCTTCCGCCCTGGCTGTGGCCGTGCATCCAGCTCCTGCCATGGCTAGGCCTTTGCAGCAGGCACCAGTGGTAACAGGCCAGGAGCCCTGTTGTAGCAGCCTGGTCATCTATGAAACCGGTTCTGGGAGGGCTGCCTCCCGACTGCTGCGCCTGCCTAGGTCTTCCTGGAATCACAGGTGTAAATGTGAGGGCATGTGGCGGCTGCACCCCAAGAACTGGCCTGCACCTCAAGAAGTAAGCCAAGGCAGGTCAGACTGGAGTAGGAGACCGTCAAGTCCAGGAAGTGGGGGGTGGCTGCTTACTGGAGGCCCTGGCCTCCCTTTGGGCTTGGGCCTCTAACCCTCATGTCCAGAGACCCTGAGGCAGTTCCACACTAGGCCCCACCAGCTTACTCTCAGCAGATGACCAAGGAGCTTGCCCTGAGCAGGAACTGGTCAGCAAGCCCCTTGTGTCCCTTGGGTGTAGCACCTGCCCAACCCCCTCCCCCCACCAAATGGCTCAGCCCAGGCAATGTACCAGCTCTTTGGACTGCCTCAGGAATAACACATGCCAGCTCTAAGTCTGCCATGGCAGCCTTCCTGGGGAAGCCTGGCTGGAAAAGCTGCTGCGGTTACAGTCGGCAGGCAGCAGGGCCCTAGATGTGGTGCTTGGGGGGACAGCTCCAAGATGCTTATGTCCCTAGGCACTGTCCTAGATTCTCTGCCCCACACAGAGGACACCTACCCAGGTACACCTGCAGGGTCAACAGCTCTGGCTAGTACTGGGAGTGCTTCAGGAACTCCTGACCTGAGGGTAGAGGCGCACCTGCTGTTTGGGATGGAAAGTGGGCAGCAGTAAGCTAGGGCCACACTGAGTAGGCTTGTTCCTATGGCCATGAGAGTGTGCCTGGAGTGTTAGCAGGAGAGAAGGCATCTGGGCTGGTAAGAGCCAGCAAGGCCCGGTGGCACAAGCTGGGGCAGGTGTTCCCTAGGAGGGCCAGTAGGCAGTCGGTCCCATTTCTCAGGGGTCTGGGATTGCTGTCTGCTGTGCCAAGGACATCCCTGGCCCCAGGCTGGCAGCTCACAGCTGCATGGCCTCGTGGCCCCCTGCTCACAGGTGGCAGTTGTGTGGCTGCTGTGAAGGAACAGGAGGCCCAGCAGTGGTGAGCACCACAGGGTGGCAAAGGGAGACTCGGGACCACGAGGGCTCCTTCCTGCCTGGAGGCCATTACGGTGCCCACAGGGGCTGGACTCCAGTCTCAGTTCCATATTCAGGGTGAGGGGGTTCTGCTCACGCACCTTGGCCCTGGCACCCCAGAGGGATGTCGGAGGAGAGGCCTGAGACAGGCCTATGCAGTTGGTACGGTCCCCCAAAAAGTGCACACAGCTCTCCTGAAGCAGTTTGTCCTGTTTTTATTTGCAGTTTCCCGAGACAGAACAAAATAAGAATCTTTGTACACTTACAAGGCTCAGAAAGAAAAGACAAGGAAACTGAGCAAAAAGGAGGGGAGGGGATGACGGCCGGCCCTGCGGGCAGCACGGCCTACAGCGCCAGCAGGTGGCCAGTGCTGCCACGCCGCCAACACCTAGCTAGCAGAGCGTGTGGGGCTTGCTCTTAAAGGGTCATGCAAAAGAATTATCCCCCAGAAAAAAAATTTTCAAAGTATCCCAGACAGGCAGCTCCGTGGAGAAAATGGGTGGAGTGGCAGAAGAGGGGCCTCAGAGTACCGGGCTGACCAGCCACAGGGTGCACACGCTGTCCTTGGCGAGCACTGCTGCTCCCCTGGGGCTAGGCAACCACGGATGTGGGGCCTGGCAGGTGTTACCCTGTGTCCATGGTGGGGGTGGCACCCACCGTCTTGGCTGGACAGTCCCCTTGGGATTTAGGATCCTGTGTCCTGTTCCCTGCTCTGCAGCCCACCCTTGGCTTCATTTATGGGAAAGAGAAAGAAAACACTTGTTGAGAACAACGCACATTCCATGTGGGTGGGCAGGCAGGCATTAGGGCAGTGGTCCCTGAACCTCCAAACTCAGGGCTCCTGTAACCTGCACCCCTAGTGTCCCCTCAGGCTCTGTCCTCAGTCTCTTAGTGCCCACCATGAGGAGCGCCCTAGAGAGCCTTCTATCCCCCCTGCAGGGGTGCTGGACTAGCAGCCAGGGTCTTTCCTCATCCACCTGCTGCTGTCGGTTCCTCACCCTCACTCCCGCTGCGGATTCTGCTCCTCAGAGCATCACATCCCTGCGGGAGCCCTAAGCCTTGCTCTGCCCAGGAGCCTGGCAGCCCCCACTCAGCCTACTCTTTGCCATTCACTGTGTCACCTGACCAAGTTATCAGCTGCCAGGCACCACCTACAGGTGGGCACCCAGCTCACCATCCTGCCCCCAGCATCCATCAGGGACTCCCAGGCCTTTGCCACTTGCCCTCTGCGACTCGGGGAGCAGGGCTGCGGGGTGCTGCTGTGTGGCGGGAAAGGAGTGGGGAACCAAACAGAGGTCAGCAGCAACCGGCAGGGTTCTCGGTGGCTTGCCCGGGCTGATGATGGCCATGGGGGCCCGTCCAGGGGCCGGGGAGGGCCCTCTGTGGACGCCCATGCCCAGCCCTTCACTGGGGAGAGGAAGCAGAACAGCAGCTGACAGGCACCACAAGCGAGCGGGAGGCAGTGGCCTAGGACACGCTGGCCCTGCCCGGCTCCTGGCTGGCCGGGAGCAGCGCAGCCGTGCAACGGACAAGCTAACCCCGTCCACACCGCCACCGGGGCTCATGGAGCTGGGTGGGGGTGGCTCCATGAACACCAGTGGTTTGTACAGCAATTTCTTTTAGTTTTTGTTTCCATTTAATCCAATGTCCTTTTTTTGTTGTTTTTTTCTTTTTTGTGGTTGTCACTGTCATCATTTTTGAAAATGAATCACATCTGGTCTTGTTTTTCTGCAGACACAGGCACCAGGGGAGGGGACGAGGCAGACACAAACATGCGACAGGCAGGCCGCGCCCACGGCGGCCAGGCTCCGACATCAACTGTCCGGTAACACCAGGTATGGCTCTGTAAGGGGCCGGGGAGGGAAGACAGCCGTGTCACAGTCACCATCCCCCCTCACCCATGCCCTGGCCCACACAAGGTCCCCGCGCACCTCACCTCACTGCAGTGGGGCCACAGGCGCACCCGAGCAGTGGAAGTGCACATTCTGCCACTTGCCATCGCGACGGTGCCACACGCGCGTCTCCTCCGACTGGCTGGTGCGCGGTCGGCCCTGCCCGTCGATGTACTGCGTGAGGCGGATGTAGGCGATGCAGGCCGCGTCCTCGCCGATGACGTGCACGTGCGGGTTCAGGATGGTGGTGTGGATGGGCTTGCTGTTCTTGGCCAGCACTGCAGGCACGGGGCAGAGGCGCGCAGGTGGACCCTGTCTGCAGACGCCTCCCCCTACAACAGGGGCCTTCCCTGCACGCTCCACTGCGACCCTGCGTCCCCCACTACCTCTACGTTTGCCTCTCCTATATGCCCCACCACTCCCCTGCCCTCTTCCACCTGCCTCCCTTTGTGCCCACTCCCAACCCTGCCCACATCTGTCTCCTGCTCACCAGGCAGCAGGGACTCGATTCCCTGGCCCACCCTGAGCTGATCTGTGGTCACCCCTCGCAGCAGCCCGCGTCCCAGCGGGGGCGCCTCACTCACGGTTCTCGAAGTAGAACCGATGGAAGTCCATGCCTTCCACCAGGTTACCAAGCGCTTCAGGTTCGAACGAGGTCAGGCCTGGGTCGCAGATCTTCCTGCGGGGCAGACTGCAGTGAGGAGGGGGCCGTTCTCCATCTTGGGCTCCCCCGGCCCCCCAGCCCCGGGGGACTCACGCATAGGCCTCGAAGTCGCCATTGTTGACGGCCTCAATGAGCTGCTCTGTGGTCTTTATGATCTCCTGCTTCCGGGCTGCAGAGAGACGCGCTGTCACCTCAGCACCCCCAGGGGCTGGCCAGAGCTGGGCTGTGCCCACAGCGCCCTGATCCTGCCACGTCTCAGCCCGTGCCCAGCTGCTGCTGATAGGCTCCCTCCACGTGCCCAATGGTTCCACATTTCCAAGGCAAAAGCTTCTAATTCATCTTCCTTCAACAGAGTCTAACCAGAGGGAACTACTCCATCTACACTACAAAAATGTCTGCCAAGGCAGGAAGGGAAGGTGCCTGTCCATAGCCCGGGGGCGGGGCTGGCCACCTGCCGCTGCAGGGCTGTGTCCACCAGGCCTGGCCAAGGGTCTGTCGGGTGTGTGTGTCTGTGTCTACCAGGCCTGGCTGAGGGTCTGTCAGGTGTGTGTGTGTGTGTGTGTAAGGGTGGGTGTGTGTGAGGGTGTCTGTATGTCTCCCTCCACCCTGTGACTTGCCTGCCAGCTCAGTCTTTCTACCTGTGCCTCTTTACTCAGTTTCCTTCCTTCCAAACGATCCTGGGGACTGGACACAGGGGCTGGTGTCAGAGCCCAGAAAGGCCAGGGAGGCGGGTGCCTCGGCAGGAAGAGGGAGTTCTGGAGCCTGGGGGGGTGACCTCCTGTGGAGGCCCCCACAGGAAGAGTAAGTGTAGAATCGCCACACCCCTTTTCACCCAGTAAGCCATAGCTGCTGGCTCCACCTGCTTGCCATCCATGGTCACTGCAGCCCTTAAGTCCAAGTGTGCCTGGGGTGCCTGCCAAGGCTGACCTGGGCCTCCAGGGCAGTCCCTCCTGTCAGCTCCTCCAGGTGTCCTAGGCACGTGCCTCACCCAGGTGTGCCCCTGCATGTGCTGACATCAAGGCACCTGTGTGCCTAGGAGCACAGGAGCGACACCTGTCTGGGGCTGTGCACACTCATGCTCGCCACAGTGTGCACACAGGTGCCCTCGTGCATGTATGTGCATGTGCAACATTTGGGTGTTGTGCACACACATGTGTGAGAGTGCATGTGTCTGCATGCATGTGCTCTTGGGGCTGCCCCCTACCTGGCCACACTTCACCTGCCCGTCCTGTCTGTTCCTGTCTGGCCCCCAGAGGCAGCCTCTGGCTCTAGGCCCTAGGGCAGCAGCCACCTCGTCCCCCACCCCGCACTGCATTCTGCCTGGGGAGCATGGGTCTCTCCCCGACTCATCATGCTGCTGTCTGCACCTATCCTGCCTGGAGGCGGCTGCATGCGGCACCCCAGGCTCTCCTGCCTTGGAATCTCTGTGGTCCATGTCAACTGGTGCCCATGTATCATGGGGACCCCTGATGCCTGTTCTTCCTCCCCTGGGGAGTCCCTGCATGGCATGGTCTGCCTTCCAGCACACTCTGTTCCTACAGTCATCTTATCTTTGCAGGAAACTGATCTCTTCCACGTGAAGAAGTCCTCTTGCAAGTTTTTAAACATTGTAACTGAAGTGGCCTAGTGTGCAGAGACCTGGGCAGTAGCCCTTCAGGGAGGAAAGGCAGGTGAGGAGACTGAGGCACCCAGGCCAGAGGTCCTCAGCTCCTCACCCGCACACCACCCCCGGCCCAGCAGTTAGGGAACCTGCCCGGCTCTGTAGCTTCCAGGGACAAGCCTGAAGCGGTGGTTGGGGTCTGGCATGGGGGGATTCTCCCGTGCCCAGGCGGCCAAGGGAGATCTAGAGCGGCCACCTGCAACCCCAGGTGGCCCCAGGCTCTGGTCCTCAGAGCCAGCAGCAGCTGCCACAGATGAGCCTGGATCAGCCTGGATTGGGAATAATCCCCGATTAAGGGGCACAGCCTAGGGTGCAGGGAGCAGGGGCCTGGGGAGGGGCCTGAGTTGGAGGTGAGCAGTGGGTCCCTATCCTAGCTATACTCTAGGGCAGCTGGCCCACCATCTATCTGCAGGAGAGCTGGGAGCTGGCCAGCCCTGCACTATGAAAGACTCCCTAAAGCCCCTCTGCTCCACCCAGCCCAGCCCTGTCCTGCCCCTCCCTTGGGTGGCAAGTGAGCCCTTCTGTGACTTTTCCTCCCTTTGCCAAGCTTGGGACCCACCCTGTAGGATGGCCGCTCCCCCACACCCACACTGCGCCTGCAAGGCTCCAGGCAGAGGCACCTCATGGTTCGCCCCCTCAGCCACAGCAGCAAAGTTGCCTTGAGATGGGGGCTGGAGGCTTGTCTACCCCAGCCCCCATACCTCTGCCTGTACCCCGCCCCCAATGCCATAAGGCCTGAGTCGCCTCACACCTCCCCACAGCCACCTCGGGGTCCCGGACCCAGCTCCTCTCCCACCCTCAGCCCTCCAGACATGGACACTCACCCAGCCCCTGGCCTGCCATGCCCAGCCCCTGGCCCAGCAGCCTCTTCTCTGAGAGCATCCGGTGCCACCCCAAGCCCCAGCCTTCCCCGGCAGTGGCGGCAGGCGGGGGAGGCGCCGCCGCCGCTCTGGCATGTCATCTATCCCTGTAAGTGATACCCCAGCCACAGCGCGCAGGGCCCCGCCGCCCGCCCTCAGGTCGCCATGGCCTTGCCCCACTGCTCCCTGCTCTGCCCTGCTGTCCACTGGCAGATGCCCCAGCCCCCTCCACACTCCAGCCCAGGGACAAGCAGGCTGCCACGGGGGGTGAGCTCTGGCCTCCCGTGCCACAGCTCCCGTGCTGTAGCATGCTGCCTACTGCTCAGAACCACCAGAAAAGAGCTGAAGACCACAGGGCAGCTGGCTGGGCAGACACATGCCCCAACACAGCGTCCACACGCAGACGTCAGCGGCGACTCCGTGCCCCTGGCCCCTTCCCTGCGATGCAGCACAGGGTCCTTGTGCCCTGCCTCATGGGCTGGCCCTTTCCTGGAAGAGGCTGGCCAGGCTGCAGGCCAGGTGTGGCCACGGGACTCTCAGGTGCTACTTACATGGGGTGGGCGGGGGACCGGGGAGAGTCGGAGATGGGCAGGGCAGGGGCCCAACGGGCAGAAGGCCCTCGGCTTCGGGGGTGCCCGAGCCCCTCCTCACTGAGTGCAGGATGTCAGAGATCCTGGGTGCTGGGTCGGAACAGACAGAGGTGACACAGTGGGGGTGGAGGCAGGGGGCAGGGAGCATGCAGGAGAGTGACAGCCGATCCAGGGAGCGGGCAGGGACTGTGAGGATGGGGGCGGCACACAGGGGACAGGTTAGAGGGGAGCAGATTAGATGCGATGGGGTAGGGGCAGAGTGAACAGCCAATGCTCTGTGGTCCAGAGGTGGGGCTGGGAGCTCCGTGGGCAGCTGAACTTCAAGAAGCCACTGAAGCAGGTGACTGGCCAGGCAGGGACAGAGCATGCCCAGGAGGGAGCAGCCCGGCCAGGCCTCATCCCCCTGAGCTCCTGGGCCGCTGGCCAGGACTGCCTCTCCGGCTCCTTCATCAGTGCCCCCTCTGAGGAACTCAGGACACTCACTCCCAGGATAGCTTGGGGGGCTGCCAGGGTACAGCTCAGACTCTGGACTGATGGGATGTGAAGGTGCGGTTTAGTGTGCCAGTGGGGCATGAGGGTGGGCAGGGAGCTAGGGAGGGCCCTGCGGGGAGAAGCCAGATGCGGTGTGGCCCTGGAAGCACCTTCATTTCCGGCAGCCAGGCCTGGGGGCCGTGCAGGGCAGGTGCGGAAAGCTGTGGCCACTGGCCGTCGGCAGCCGAGCAGCAGACCACCACTACTTACACGGGGCAGTCAGGGGGCCTAGGAGAGCTGGAGACAGGCAGGGAGGGGGGCCCTCGGCTTCGGGGGTGCCCGAGCCCCTCCTCACGGAGTTCAGGATGTCAGAGATCCGGGGGACTGGGGCGGAACAGACAGAGGTGAACAAGAGGCAGATGGACAGACAGACGGGAGGAGGGGCACGGCTCCCCCCAAGGGCAGGGGCTGCAGCATGGAGCCAGCCAGGGCTGCCCACAGGTACAGCTGGCTCCCTGAGCACAGAAGCCACAGTGGTGGCAGGGTTGGGGGCAGGCCAGAGCTGGAGTCCAAGTTACACTTGGCTCCTCACAGAGGGGTCACTGGCTCCGACAGCAGCAGGGCTGGGGCTCCTGGCCCCTCCTCAAGGAGCTCAAGACACCAGGGACTTGGAGCAGAACCTCAGGGGCAGGTGGCACAGGAGCAGGCAGGGCAACGATGCCTGACCATGCCTTGGTGCTACAGGGAGTGACCCTGCCCCCACCAGGCACCCGGATTGGGGCCACAGCAAGGACAGGAGACTGAGTGGGCCTGATGGCTGTGGCCTGATCTGACTTAGTACCTGGAGGCCTGCACTGCACAGCAGGCGGACCAGTAGCCTGCCCAGGCCATGGACATCCTGGGCCACAGGTGCTGCTTCTCAGCAGCCCCCATCCCCAGCAGGCCCAAGGCCAGCCACTGGGTGGCAGGTGAGGGCTGTAGTAACCCCGGGTGTACAATCGTGTGCTCAGCTGGGGGGGGGGGGTGGCGCCCCGGGGTACAATAGTGGGGCAAGCCACTGCGCCATCCTGAGGGCAGCTCAGGATCTGCCTAGGTGACCGTGAGGCCAGCAGCCTGCAGGCCGTGGAGTCCAGTGTGGGAAGGCTGAGGAAGCAGGGAGGAGTCCAGCCAGGCGCCCTTGGTTTCTCCTAGGGGCTTCTCTCCCACCAAGCCTCGGTGCATGTCCTGCCCTGGCACAGTGGGAGCCTGGAGCAATGGCCAGGGGCAAGGCCTGAGCACAGGTACCTTTCGCATCTTCATCCTCTATGGTGGTGTTGGTGCTGTCAGAGGACTCCTGGGAAAACAAGAGAGGCAGTGGTTGGGGCATAGCTGGGAGCTGGGGGCCACACACTCCCCTAGCCACAGGGGCCCTGGCCCTGGAAAACCCTCCAGGTGGCCATTGAAGGCAGGGGGGCCTGCTCGGCTGCCCCCATCCCAACCCAGAGAGGAGAATGGGCTTTTTGGAGCAGTGGTGCTTTAGGCAGAACAGGACCTGGCTGGCCCCTGGAGACTGGAAGGTTCCAGAAGCCCAAGTTTTCAGCAGCCTGGGTTAGAAGCTGCCAGCTATCTGGAGTCCCAGGAAGGTGCTACCCTGTGGTCAGCTGTCCTCCCAGGCGCATCGCCAGCCATCGAGACTGCTGAGGGAGAACAGACCCTCTGCTGCTCTGGCCCCAGGGACCAATTCTGTGCATACTGATGGATACCGCCCCGGGCCTGGGTCTGCAGGTGGAGACCTGCATCTCCACCTCCCAGAAGCTGGCCAGGACGGACCCTCATGGGGAAAACGCAGCTGACCAGACACCCTCTGTCTGGATCCCTACAAAGTGGGAGGGTGCCAAGCCTTGGGTGTAAAGCCCAATCACTGGCACCTGCCCCAGGCCAGGGGTCTTAAGATGGTTGGGATGGGGGCTCTGGCCATAGAAAGTAATGGCCCCCAAAGAGGTGCTTCAGGGGCTCACCTGGAAGCCCAGGTCCAGGCAGCAGTCCAGCCTGACTGCCCCGCCCATGCTGCCCCTCCCCCACCCCACAGCCAGCCCCGCCCTGACCCCATGACGATGCCGATGTGATGGAGCCGATGGTGCAGTGGATAGGAGCGGGGGAGGGGAGGGGCTGCTTGGCAGCAAGCATTAGGACCACGAGAGTCCGGGAAACAGACCCGGGGAACACGGACATGGCTCCTGGGAAGTGCACCTGGCTCGGCATGGAGGTGGCAGCAAAGGGCCCTCTTGGGGCAGCACTGAGCTGGCTATGGGCTCTCAAGTGGGGCACTATGGGCTCTGCTCTGCCCTACCCACAGGAGACAGGCCTCTAGTCTCCTGTTCTGTATTCTCTGCTACTGCCCCGGCCCCAGGCCCTGTGCCCTGGCCTGAGGGGATGGTGGTGAGGGAAGAGGCCAAAGTACCTTAATCCCGTCCACAGGGTTATGGATAACGGTGGTTTGAGGCTCCTACAGTGGGAGGAAAGCACAGAGGAAGGGGAGGGAGAGAAAGGAGGGGAGGCGGTGAGACAGAAGGCAGCGGGCAGCGGGGGCCAGAGAGGCATTGGGCATGGCAGAGCTCGGCAGAGCAGGGAGCAGGTGGTCAGCACGAGATGACCCTGGGTGGACCAATGTGAATGGAGCCAGCTGCCCAACCAGAGGGTGGCGGGCACATGAGGGTCCACTGAGGCTGCAGTGAGAGGAAAGCTATGCCCTGGGGGTCCTCTCCGGCCCGGGCCTGACGGTGTTATGGGGTGGCACATGACGTGGAGGGGTCCAAGGTGGGGCTGGCTATGAGGCCGGTGCGTCCACTGGGAGCCCTGAGCAGCTCCCCTGTCCTGCAGACGCCCCACAAGTTTGGGGTGGCCGCTAGCCAGCCCCCCTTCCCATGAACCCCCAGCCCTGAGGATGGGATGGAGGCTGCAACCCCACATTCCTAGAGCTGGCCAGTATGTCCCATGGAGCCTCCAGCAGAGGTAGGGCTCTGGTGGAAGCCTGGGGGGATGGGTGAAGCCCTGGTTGCCCTCTCTCCCCAGAGCACATGGGATGGACCTAGCCAGGCCCCCTGCAGGGTGGTTGGGCCTGGGAAGGGCAGAGAGGAGCTTGGTGACTGCGGGCAGGGGAGATGGGCAGAGCAGATCCCTTCGGGGTGAGAAGCCACCCTGCCCCAAGGGTCCCTGCCTCAAGCCCCCTGAAGTCTTCCAGCTGCAGTTCCTGGGGAGGTACCCCCAGTGGGTGCCTTCCCTATATCCCAGTATTTCCAGGCCCCAAGGAGAGACCCCTCCCAAGTAGCTCCCCTCTAGAGGGCACCTCTACCCGCCCCCCCCCCCCCAGCAGGGCGGGAGCCAGGCAGGTATTGGAGACAGGAGGGGCGGGGCTCAGTACCAGGGCTGCGGGAGGCAGCGTCCCCTTGGGGCTGGTGATGGCCGTGCTGTTTTTCGTGCTGTTGCTCTGGGGCTGTGGGCAGAGAAGAGCAGCAGTCAGGGGCAGCCGAGCACCCCTCCGGGGCCTGCGGTCAGGCAGCAGCCATGGGGGATGGGCCTCACCTTGACTCCATCAGCCTTCTTGTTAAGCAGGCTCTTGGCTGCTGCATGGACATGGAAGAGGCACCATGAGTGCTGGGCTTGGGTCCCATCCTGCATCCTTGTTCTCTCCCCCACCCTGGGCATCCTGTGGGTGCCCAATCCTGTGGCCTTCAGCATCTGAGCTGCATGCAGGCTCTTCCCAAGGCAGAAAGGGCAGATGCCCTGTCTGTGGTGCTGTCCATTAGGTATGGGCATCTAAGTCAGGAGGCAGACCAGGCCCACCATCCCCAAGGGTCTCCTGCGCTAGGAGGTCCCACCTCTCCCACCAGATCATGGCCCTGAGCGCCCTCTCACAGCAGAAGACTGAGCTGCCCCTGGGCACTGGCCCCAGGAACACTGGTCGGCATGGGCTGGGGCCGATGCCAGCTTTTCTGTGCCACAGTGCACCCCATCCCCTGGAACTCTGGGCTGGGAAGAACTCACTCCTTCCCAGCACCTATTCCCTCCATGCACTCAAAACAAGACAAGATCCACTTACCTTACAGGAAAGGCAAGGCAAGGAGGACATGGGGGAGGGGGAGAGAGAGAAGACAAGATTTGTGTTGGTTCCAGCAGGGGTCGCTGGCACCACCTGCAGCACAGCAGGTTGCATGTGGGAGCCTGCGGGGGGCCAGAGCAGCCCTAGGGCTGGCTGTTGGAGAAGGTGCCCAGCGTCACAGCTAGGTCATGGGAGATACAGAGGGGCCTCAGCCCAAGCTGACTGGGGAAGGAGGGGCCGCAGCCACCAGGCTCCAGGCTGGCCGGGCCTGGCATGAGGGAAGGGGCACGGGCCAGGCAGGTGCACCTGACCTAACTGCAGCGGATTCTCGGGTCCTCAAGCACATCAGCAGTGCCACCCCACACAGTCTGAAATGCAGGCTTTCCAGCCCCCAGCCCCAGAGTCGGCACGGGTAGGGTGGGCAGTCCCTGCAGAGACCTCAATTCCACCACCAGGCGCAGGCTCCCTGCTGACCACTGCCCTTCCACACTTCCAGCACAGCCTCCCTCCCCTGGGGACGCACAGAATTTTGCATTGAGTTTCTCTAGGATGCAAGGAACAGGCTGGTCTTTGTGGAGTCGACCCGAACGCACATCCCAGGGTTCTCCAGTCCAGCGGCAACAGGGTCGCCCTGGCCCGCCCCACACTACAGCACCCAGCCCAGCGTGTTCCTGGAAACTGAGACACGACTTCCTTACAGCTCGGCCTGGAGCTCACCACAGGGCCCAGGGCATCTTGTCCCAACATGTCCTGCCCCCGCTCCTCTGTCCCAGCCTGGCCAGCAGGACCACATCTGCCCGACGCTGGCAGTTGGCTGCCTGGCACAACTGAAGACAAGGCCTCTTCCAGGCCCTTAGTGCAGAGACACTTGTCTGGAGAACCCGGTCACAAGGAGCTGAGCAGATGAGGGGCCTTTTGGGCCCTGAGGTAGTCAAGTCAGCAATGTAGCCAGTCTCATTGGGCGGTTTGTCAAAGGCAGGCCTTGCCACCTCTACCACCCCCAGCCTGCTCACAGTTGCATTCGGGGGTCAAACCAGCACAGCCCAACCCGCGGGGCCAGCATAGCACTCAAAGCGGGGTGGGGAAATTGGCTTTCTGCCCTTGGCTGTCCACAGATGATTCTTCCAGGAAAGGAGGCCCCGGGGCCAGGCCCAGCCCACATCTACCGAGCTCCGCATTCCCAAGTCCCAAGCCGTGCTGCTGGAGAAGACACAGCATGGCCAGCACACGTAGCTGGGCCAGAGCTGCTCACTCACTTGCTGCCCTCCAGCAACGCCCCTTTTGAGCCAGCTCCTGTGCAGCCCAGGGTGCAGTGCATCCCCCCAAGCTCACCTGTGTCCCCAACAGTCAAATCTCTGTGCTCGTTGGCCATGAGGGTATCCCGTCTCCACAAAGGCTCAACAGCCACGGGAGAACCCAAGACCCCACCCACACTCACATCCACAGGCACAGGGCTTCTTTCAGGGTGTCTCGTGGGGGTCTAAGGTGGACAGGCCCTGGATACCTGGGGGGTCCCCGCACTGGAAGGTTTGGCCCCCACAAGGGTCATCAGGCAAGGCAAGTGCCATGGCCCTCAGCTGTCTCCCTCCCCAACCCTACCCGGCAACACACTCAGCACACAAGCACCTCCTGCTGGCTGGCAAGTACCTTGCCACTCCTGGAACATACTGGTCTCCACCATCACCTGACCACACACGTGAGGGAGAGATTGTGTCTGTGGGCTGCACAAGGCTGGGCCCTGTCAAGTCAGGGAGCCCTCCAGGCCTCCCCGCTGCCTGGCCCCATCTGAGTACTCTGGACAGCCATGCTGGATGCCGTCCACATGCATGGAGCACAGGGCCGAGCTGCGCATGCAGGCGGCCCCATGCACCACTGTCCCGGCTTCGCTTGCAGGCAGGCAGGTGGGCGGGCATTGCAGCAGCAGCCCTGGGTAGAGCACAGCCAGCCTTGGGCCGTGGTCCCCTGGGCAGCAGGGCCTCCCCAGGGAGTGCTGGCTCAGCTCTCAAATCCCGGCCTTTCCCTCCCTCCATGAGCGCCAAGCAGGCTGCGAACTGCGGGCCCGGGGCCTGCACATCCACAGAGTCCATGTGGGGGGAGTGGACCCCTCCCTGTCCCTGGCTAAGCTCCCCTCCCCGTCCCTGCCAGGAGGTCGTAGGATGGCGATGATCTGGCTGTGACCCGGCGGCCTTGTGGGCTGGAGTGGAGTGGGTGCACAGGAGGGCACCTGGGAGGGATCAGCCAACTGCCACTGGGGCCTGGGTGGGCTCTGCTTGTTTAGTGACAGCCATGGCTTGCTCTCTCAGCTATCAGTTCCTGTGGGGGCCGTGGCCCCAGCTTGGGTGCCCCAGAAGAACAGGTCAGCAGTCACCTGTTGGCCGTGAGACCTGGCAGCAGCAAAGGATGCCTCTCTGGAGGGTTCGGGTTGGCCGAGCTCACCGGGGTCAGCAGCACAGACCACTGGCTCTGGCTGCGGGACAGGGACTGACTGGACCTTGGACAGGCAGCAGCCCTGCCTCCCAGGCCTGCTCCCTAGGGCCCCCTTCAGGACTCTGATGCTCTTCATGGGGGTCTCCAGACCCCCAGACCTCAGGAGTCAAGATGGGGCGGGAACATTTCAGTACAATGCACTTGGCGGGGAGAGGTCACCTACTCTGTCCCCTTTTCTTCCAGGTGAAATGGGAACGGGGGAGTGAATTTGGTTAGGACTGACCATGGTGGCGGGAGCAGGGGCTCCCAGGGTCCTGGCGATGGCTGCGTGCAGCAGGGGGCTGCATGCCAGCGGCAGGGTGCGGGGGGCGAGTGATGGACACTGGGCAAGACACATCTACCTTGTTCCACCAGCCCCATGGTGGTGCCGGAGGTGGCGGTGGACATGGTGGCCGGAGCGGTGGTCTGTCTGCCCACTGCAAGCACCAGGTTAGAGACGAGGGGAGGGGAGGGGCGGACACAGACGAGGTGGGGGCGAGGTGGGGGAGAGAAGAGACAAAGGAAGCAGAAGAAGTTAGAGTTCAAGTCTGGGTGCTGGCAGCTCCAGCATTGCTCTCCCAGGAGGGAGTGAGCAAGACAGGCTGGGAGACAGCAAGGCCTCTGCCTCCTTTCTCCTTAGAAAACCCCAAGGGGGGGTTTCTGGGGTAGCGGCCGCCATGGGGTCACGGCGGGCACACAGCAGACAAGACAGTCCCATTAGCGTTGGCATGGGCGACGGAGGGGCCCGGGTGCAACGGACAGCGACACGGACGGCCACACTCGCTCGGACACGCGGTGTTGGACGACGGAGAAGCCACAGGCACAGCTTGTGCAGGCACTGGGGCCACCAGCTCCCCTCGGGGCCAGTGCTGGCCCCCGGTGGGCCCACAGTGCCTTGGCTCCCTGAGGGGGTCTCCAACAGACCCCCTACCAACCTCACTTCCCCCCACCGATCCACCCACTGGCACAGACCATAGCAGGAAGGTTCTGCCTGCCTCCCGCACACAGCACGGTGCTCGGAGCACTGAGAACAACAAGGACGCCACGGAGCTGCCTGACACGCCTGGACACACACGCATACACGCTTATACGCACACACGCGGCGCTGCGAGCCGGGCGACGGGCGGCACAGACATTGGGGCCCTGGGATGGGGCAGGGATAGACATGGGCTCCAGCTGCCCCTGGGAGGTGTGGAGCCGGGTGGGTGGCAGGGAGCGATGTCTTGCAGTGGGGGCTGCAGAGGGAGAAGGGTGCTCTGGGGAACAGGCAGTAGCACAGGCAGTGCCCGTCATGCCCGGGGTGTGGGGATGGCTCACCTGAGAAATTCCTTGTGGCCAGCATGGTGGTAAGGATGGCCCCCTGAGGAGACACACACAGAGCCAGGGCCAGCTGTCAACCTGCAGACTTCCTGCTGGGAGAGTAAGCCCCCATTCCCCTTCCCCTCCAGCCCCCACCATGGACCCTGCAGGACCCATCTGGCATCTACCCCGGAGACAGAGCGCCTGTCTCCTGGGACTACACCTGCTCCCTCCTGCCTGGCTCCTGGGAGCCCGACTACCCTCTAGCACCCCTCCGGCCCCCCTCTGGCCCAGGATGCCAGGAGAGTGGTCAGCAGGGGGCCCCAGGCCCGGCCTGCTATTACTCCAGGCCAGAAGCTTCTGGGCTTGCTGGATGGAGGGAGCGTAACTGACTGGGTGCAGTCTGTGTTCACCCCTACTCCGTGCCAGCTCGGCAACCCATTTGGGCTGCTCCCCAAGATGGAGCAGGCCTGGGCTCATGGAGGCCCAGCCCCTCAGTCCCCCACGGCGGCTTCACCTTAAGCTTCCTCCGGGCGTTGAACTTCTTCAGGCACTCCACTGTCTCCTGCCGGTGCATCATGGAGGCCACTGTGGAGCGTTGCTATGGGCAGAGGACCAGGGAAGGAGGCATCAGCGCTGGCCCCTGGCCAGACCCCAGCTGCTTCCTCCAGGGCCCAACCGGGCTGGGGTCCAGACTTGGGAGACCTACCGGCCAGCATGACCCAGTGCCGAGGCTTCAGGGGGCACCCAGGCTCTGGCTGGAGGGGAGGGGCCCTTATAGGGATGGGGTCAACTTACGCAGACCCATGGGTGTTTGAGGGCCTCATGGGCCGTGATGCGTTTGGCGGGGTTGATGGTCAGCATCTGGTTAATGAGGTTTTTGGCTTCGGGAGTGACGGTGTCCCATTCAGGGGACGGGAACTGCATGGGAAAGCAAGGCATGGGCCATAGTTAAAGGCCCCTTCTGGGGGCCATGGCCACAGGGCCCCCAACCCCACTCCAGGGGAGGGTAGCCTGGGGTCCTGACCACTCACATCGTACGCGCCGGCCTTGATCTGCTGGTACAGCTTGTGCTGGTCCTCGTCCCAGAAGGGCGGGTAGCCCACCAGCAGGATATACAGGATGACGCCTGCGTGGAGTGGGGACAGCACCGAGGCCATTGCTGTCACCGAGGGAGGCAACCCCCTGTGCTGCACCCCTGCCTGGAGGGAGACCACCTCCAAAGGGCAGCCCTGCACCCTGGTTTGCACTCTGAGCAGAGGTGAGCACACACAACAGACTGGGCATCCCATCAGCAGTCCCCACCTGGTGGGCAAAGGGCTCCAGGCTACAGACAGACACCTGCCCAGGTGACCCAAGGGCAGGGGTGACACATGTGGTCCTGGAGGTCACATGGACCTCAGCACCCTAACCCAGAAACACTCCCAGGACCCCTCCTGCCCCACAAAGGCCTCACCACATGCCCAGATGTCCACAGGCTTGCCATAGGCCTCCTTGCGAAGAACCTCGGGGGATAGGTAGCCCGGTGTGCCCGCGAACCCTAGCAGAGATGGGCGAGGGGCTGTGAGGGGCCACAAGGACCCCACGACCCCTCAACCTGCCCAACCCGGCACTCACCAAACCATGCCTGCTGGTCTCCCTGCACTTCGATGGCCAGGCCAAAGTCGGCCAGCTTCACCGCGGCCCCTTTGCACTTGCTGGCCAGGAGCAGGTTCTCTGGCTGCAGGAAGGGCGTGAGGTTTGCACTGAGTACAGCACAGGGGGCAGTGGTCTGCAGGAGCGGGGCACCCCGTCCCAGCCTCCAGCAGCCTAGCATCCCATTACAAGCCTCACCATTACAGGCAACCAAGTTGCTTCTCCCTTCCCCATTCCTGACATGGTGGCACAGGGCGTGCCGGGAGTAGGGGGGTGCCTATGGGAGGATGAAGCACTTCCTGTGGGACAGTGTCCCTATGTCTCCGCTCCTTTCAGGCAAGAAGGAGCTGCAGCCCTCACAGCAGTCCAGCAAGTCCATTTGGCAGGCATGGCCCAGCCTCCAAGTCCCATGTGGCTGCCAGGAGTCCACCTTTCAGGGCTAAAAGCCTGCCTGTGTGGTGCCCACAGGCAGTGGGGGGGCATTCCCTGTCCACAGAAGCGGCTGTGGAGGGGGGCTTCTGGCACAGCAGGGCTGAAGGCTCAGGGCTGATGTGCCCAAAGTTCCTTCCTATTTGGCTTCCAAGGCTGCATCACCACCCAGTGAACAGGAAGGCCTGGGAAGTGCTCCAAGCCAGGCAGGTGCCCAGCCGCCAGCCTAAACCTTGACCACTAGGGGGCTCCCGAGGCTAGGGTTGCTGTGGCAACCTACAGATGGCACCAGGAGCTAGCTCAGTGGGGTAAGCTGCCATCCCATATGGGTGCTCCTTCAGCTCCTGGCAGCTCCCTGCTAAAGCACTTGGGTAGACCTGGGGCAAGCTCCAGGCGCCTTGCTTCTGCCTGGCTCAGTCCTGGCTGTTGTGGCCATTTGGGCAGAGGATGGAAGGCAAGGAGAGTAGGGTCAGTGCTGAGTCACACAGACCGGGGAGAGCAGGTGGCAGGAGCATGAGAAGGGGCACCGGGTCACAGGTGTCCTTGTCTAAAGCAGCTGCCACGCTCAGGTCCCCATGAGCAGTGCAATGGGTAAGCACACACCCCAGACCTAGAGAGCTGCGGCTTGAATCCCAGCTCTGCTGCCAACCCAGTTTCCTGTGAATTCGTATCTTGGAAGGAGCAGGTCAGGGTTCAAGTACTTTGGTCCCTGCCACCAGATGGGCGATCCGGACAGAGTTCTGGACTCCTGGCCCAGTTCTGCCTCTCTCTCTCTTTTTTCCTTTCAAATAAAACAAATACATTTTTAAAAGATTCATTTATTTTTCCTGGAAAGTCAGGTTTCCAGAGAGGAGAGACAGGAAGATCTTCTATCCGATGATTCACTCCCCAGGTGACCGCAACGGCCGGAGCCGAGCTGATCCGAAGCCAGGAGCCTCCTCTGAGCCTCCCACACAGGTGCAGGGTCCCGAGGCCTTGGACCGTCCTTGACTGCTTTCCCAGGCCACAAGCAGGGAGCTAGGTGGGAAGCGGGGCAGCAAGAACATGAACAGGCACCCATATGGGATCCTGGTGCCATATAAGGCAAGGATTTAGCTACTAGGCATTGGGCCCAAAAATAATTTTTTAAAAAGATGGATGGAGGGGCCAGTGCTGTGGAGTAACATGTAAAGCTGCCACTTGCGCCGATTCGAGTCCCGGCTGCTCCACTTCTGATCCAACTCCCTGCTAATGGCCTGAGAAAGCAGCAAGACAGCCCAAACGCTTGGGTCCCTGCATCCACATGGGAGGCCCTGAAGCAGCTCTTGGCTCCTGGCTTTATACTGGTCCGGTGCTCTCTGTCTCTCCCCCTCACTCTCCAGCTCTGTCTTTCAAATAAATAAATCTTTAAAAAGATGAATGCACACCCTGACCCTGCCCAACGTGAATCCCCATGGACAGCTGGTCATTGGCACACTGGGCCAGGCCATCCCACCCGCATGCACACACATACAGACCACAGGCACACGCACACATATGTGTGTGCACAGGCCATGTGGTGCAAGAAGGTGCACAGAGTTCCTGCACACATGTGTGTACTCACACATGTGTCCCTCCACAAGGACACAGATGCCCATCTGTGCACAGATGGACACGCACACCTTCATGAGGAGAACACATATGCACACACTCCCCCATGCCTGCACACAAGAACACACATGTGCCCTTGGCCCCCATGCCCTCCCTTGACCCTGTCTGGCTTCACACCTCCTCTTATACGACCCCTGGCCAGGGCTGGGTGGGAACTCACCTTGAGGTCCCTGTGGACAACCCCCATTTGGTGACAGTGGAGCACGGCCTCCAGGATCTGCTGGATGCAGTGACTGTGGCAGACAGCAGCCAAGTTAGTGCGAGGACAGGGAACTCGGGCTGTGTGGCCCTGCAGTGTGGTCCCGAGCCTGGGGACCCAGGGGCGTGGGGAGCGAGGGCAGGCAGGCGAAAAGCTGGCAGGAGAAGCCATGACTTCTTCGCCCCCCTTGCCCCCAAGGCCAGTGGTCCTGGCTCTGCTGTCCTGATGGGCCCCAGGCTGCCCAGGCCCACACAGCCATGCCTGAGTCTACGCCAGCACCCTAGGGAGGGAGATATGGGAGGAGTGTGGGCGAGGGTGAGGGGAAGCTGAGGCAGAGGAGAGCTGTGGTGGGCAGGAGCCAGGACCGAGGGCCACTTTATTTGGATAAACAGATTTGACCTGCACGTGGGCAGCAGCTGCCCTGCTGGACAGCCTGCCCCAGCAACGTAGGCTGGACAGTCCAGCTCCCAGGATCTAAGGGGGCTACTGGGCTAGCCAGAAGCCCTGACTTTCACCATCCCCCTGGACCCAACCTCTGCCCCTTAGTGCAATGCCCTCCATCCCCAGGACCTTCTGCCGCCCTGAGAGCCCGCAGGTGGCAGAGCTGGGAGAGCAAGCAGGGAGAATTCAATCCAAGGTACTCTAAACCCGGGAACCCCTGCTGTGGGGGGCTCAGGGAGGGGCTCCCCTAACTGCAGTTTGTAGAAGGTTCCAGGTCCAGAACAGCCCAAGCAACAACTGAGGACCTTAGAAGACCCCAGGTGTCACTCCAGGCCCACAGGGGCTCCGAGCAGGCAATGTGACAATCGCCCCTGGCCTTACTCAGGCTGTTCTGTGCCTCGCCCAGCAGGTACATGTAGTGGTCACATCCCAGCTGGCACCAGCCACGGCCAGCCATTGTCCCCCTGCATTTTCAGTGAGGGCCGGGGCGGGGGGAAGGGCTGTCCTGCGGTGTCCCCCAGGGCTCCTGAGCTGGTTGAGATCCAAGCCCCTCAGTCACCTCCCCGCAGCACACAGTGGGGCCCTTTGTGTCCCCTCCCTGCCGGCTGCACCAGCACCGGCTGCCAGCAGGCCTGGGCACAATGCCCAGGCTGGGTGGGTCTGAGGGGTTGGCGAGAGAACCCCAGGCCGGCAGCTCACGGCCCAGAAGAGTTGGGAGGAAGGGAAGAGCGAGAGGGTGCATGTCTCAGGCTGGACGCTGGGGCAGCCTACAGAAGGGAAGGGTGGAAGGACCGCCCTCTGGCTACTACCTCCCCCTGCAGGCTCCCTCCCCCTGCCGCCCTGAACCTCCCAGCCGTCCAGCAGGTGCCTGGCAGAGCCAACAAGGCTGTGGGCCTGGGGACAATCAAGGGCTGTGGGAGGAACCCAGTACCTGCCCAGGACGCAGTGAAGGTTACGGAAGGGGCAGCAGCGGGGCCGAGGTAGGGCCCGGGAGGAAGTGGCACAGGACAGTGGCTCACACCCACCTAGCATCAGCCTCACTGTAGTATTCTCTTGCCACAATGTCTTCAAAGAGTTCCCCGCCAGTGACCCTGTGGGGCAGCACAGGGAGCATGGATCCTGGAAAACCCCTCACTCTGTCCCCCACATCACTATCGTGTCCACCTTCATCATCACCATCACCTTCATCATCATCATCACCTTCATCACCACCAACACCATCATCACCTTTACCATCACCATCATCACCACCATCTTCATCATCATCATCACCATCACCACCACCTTCATCACCATCACCTTCATCACCACCAACACCATCATCACCACCTTCATCATCACCAACACCATCAATCTAGACCTCTGCCCTCTCAGAAATGTCACTGGGACTGAGAGCTGACCACATGCTTGCTAGCCCTTGATGCCTTTGACACTGACCTCTGCACAGTCACCCAGGACACTGTACTCCATTGCACATGAGGAGGCTGAGAGCAAGTGACCTCCCGGGAGCAGCTTAGCCACTGATGGGCCCCACCACTGGCTGGGACTTGGGCCTCTAACCCCCAGCCTCAGCTCAGCTCACCTCACCCCTAGCCCTCAGGCCAGCCCTGTGGCGCACTTCTGTCTGTTCATTTCTTCTGGAAAGTGAAACCTGGCCTTCCTCACATCAGGGCAATGTGGTGAGGGGCTGTCAGCAGGGGCACTGGTGCAGGTGGGCACTTGCTCAGTGGTGCAGGAATGCTGAGCAAGACTAAGGAGCCCCCAGCAGCCATAGCGTGGGGGCGCCCCTGCCTCTGGAAGAGACCCATGCTGGGCCCCAAGGCCACTGACCCCCCAAGTCAGGCACCCTACCCTCAGAAGTGGGACCAAAGGCTCACGTGAGGGTGAAACGCCCAGAGGCCTGGGTCCATTCCTGTCCCTTCTCCACTGGGGCAGGTCTGAGCATGGGGCTCTGTGGATCCCGGGTCCAGACACCCTGGACAGCGGCAGAAAATCCCCAGCCATCACCAGACTGAGCTCAGGAAGCTGCAGCTGGCACCGTCGCATCTCCCCTTCTCAGCTCCACAAGTACATCCCAGGAGCCCGAACAGGGCCACCCTAGAGCAGGGTGAGCCAGCTGCTCCCTGGCCATGATGGGCCTTTCAGGGCAGTGACAGAGTCCCAGGGTGGCCCTGGTCACCAGCCAGCAATTCTCAGCGATCTGAGGACTCATACAGGTAACAGAGAGGTGACCAAGCCCCTGCATGGAGAGCCTCACCTCTCCTGAACAGGAGGCCCGTCTCACTGCGCTGATCCAGTTCCACGCACAAATCCTAGGCATAGGGTAACCATGGCAACCATGCCAGGCGGGCTTCTGTGGCCTGGCTGTCACCCGGAGGCCAAAAGCGCCGACCACAGTGATGGCCCACTCAGTCCAGGGCCCTTGGCACTGGCTCAGGACAGCTAAATATAGCTTGCTCAGCGGGAGCTGTGAGCGGGAGGGAGATGACGTCACTGCTTCTAAATCCAGCAGGAAGTGAGAGGTGGCAGCGGCCCAATCGCCTGCTCACTCAGCTCCTGAACACACTGGCCCACGGCGTACCCCTCATAAACACCCACACATGTAGTGCTGCCCTCTGTACACACATGTACATACACACATGCAGACAGACACACCACATGCATCCATGTACATATGCACACATGTAAATACACACGTACCTTCTCACACACACGCACCCACAAGCATACCCCCACAGATATAAGCACTTGTGCACACACACATGCATAACATACCCACCAGCACATACATACACTCACGCACCCATACCATAAGCACACCCCCCCACACACAGGCACACGCGTGCAAATGGGGGAGCCGGGCATCCCCAACAGAGGCACTTACAGATCAAAGACCAGGTAGTGGAATCCCTCTTCCGAGATGCTGTCGTGCAGGCGCACTGCAGGCAGAGGGGTCATGAGGGGATGTGGACACAGCCCCTGTCCTCGGGGCCTGGGGGGCTGCTGGCTACAGTGTGGGGAGAGTCCAGAAAGGCTGGCCCTTCCTGTGCCTACCTGGGCACCCTGGAGGGCCGCTCGAGGGGCTCCCACAGCCCAGTCCTGGGGACAAGAGCCTGAGGAGCAGGACCTGGAGAGGGCATATGGGCCCCGCCCCCAGCCCCAGGCCCCTCCCACCAGGGGCTGCATCCCTGTGGGGGACACTCAAGGACCTTGCTGGGTCCCAGGTCAGGGGCTTGGGGCCTCCGTGCCCTCCCCAAGCAGTTATGGAGTCTTCCTCTTGACACCTGGGAAGTCCACAGGCCTACAGAGCTTCATCGTGCAAATGACTGGAACCCTCTCAATTCAGCTCCCTTCCTCGGGCTCCCTGTCTACAAGCGGGACCCCCAGAGCTCTCCATCCCTGAACGCTCCCCTGCCCAGCTGTCACAAGGAAACGAGTCCCTAGTGTCCTGTGGGGGGTGCGGCGGCTGGGAGGTGGTGTGATCTCCACTCCCACCGGCTTTGCTCAGCAAGCTGTCTATTTCCTGTCCAGGGACCAAGGGCCCCCGGAACCCCGGAACTCAGCTACAGTGGTGGAGGGACAGAGAGGCTGGCCCCAACCAGCCCAACCTCCCTTCCTGGGCTGCGCCTGGCCGGTGTCTACAAAGGAGTGCTGAACAACAAACCAACAAACCGAAGATTCTCCCCAGGCAGGGACTCCCTGGGGTGTCCAGGGTGGTGGTATGGGTGATGATATGGGTGTGGTATGGGTGGTGATATGGGTGTGGTATGGGTGGTGATATGGGTGTGGTATGGGTGTGATATGGGTGGTGATATGGGTGTGGTATGGGAGTGGTATGGGTGTGGTATGGGTGTGATATGGGTGGTGATATGGGTGTGGTATGGGTGTGGTATGGGTGTAGTATGGGTGGTGATATGGGTGTGGTATGGGTGTAGTATGGGTGGTGATATGGGTGTGGTATGGGTGGTGATATGGGTGTGGTATGGGTGGTGATATGGGTGGTGATATGGGTGTGATATGGGTGTGGTATGGGTGGTGATATGGGTGGTGATATGGGTGATGATATGGGTGTGGTATGGGTGTGGTATGGGTGATGATATGGGTGTGATATGGGTGTGGTATGGGTGGTGATATGGGTGTGGTATGGGTGTGGTATGGGTGGTGATATGGGTGGTGATATGGGTGTAGTATGGGTGGTGATATGGGTGTGGTATGGGTGTAGTATGGGTGGTGATATGGGTGTGGTATGGGTGGTGATATGGGTGTGGTATGGGTGGTGATATGGGTGGTGATATGGGTGTGATATGGGTGTGGTATGGGTGATGATATGGGTGGTGATATGGGTGATGATATGGGTGTGGTATGGGTGTGGTATGGGTGATGATATGGGTGTGATATGGGTGTGGTATGGGTGGTGATATGGGTGTGGTATGGGTGTGGTATGGGTGGTGATATGGGTGGTGATATGGGTGTGGTATGGGTGATGATATGGGTGTGATATGGGTGGTGATATGGGTGTGGTATGGGTGGTGATATGGGTGTGGCTCAGTCGCCTGCCCAGGCCAGGAGAGACACGTGCACGTGCACTAGTGTCAAATGTGGCAGCTGCTCCGTGTCCCGGCTGCTTCACTCCCCATCCGGCTCCCTGCAGATGGGCTTGGGAGGGCGGCAGAGGATGGCTCAGCACTTGGGCCCCTTAGCCACAGGGAGGGGTGCCTGGGCTGAGCCACACGAAGATCCGCTGGGGCAGCAAGCCACGGCAGACCAACCTGGTCAGTGTCCACAGCACAGGGGGCCTGAGCAGGGCCAGCCGGGGGCTGACTCATAGCCTGACGCTTGAAATTCCTAACAACCTTGCACAAGGTACCTCATGCTTCAATTCCGCATTGGACCCCACAAGCTATCCCAAAGGTCGGTGCTGTCATCTGTTGGGGCTGCCCACCTCTAGCAGGTCAAGGCGCTGACCCCGTCCCCAGACCAGGCTCCTGTGTGAGCATGCCCATGCGGCGAGGCTGCCCTTAAGAGAAAGAGCAAGAAAGCAATGCCCCAGCCCCGCTCAGCTGCACCCTGGCTGGTCCAGGGCTGGGGGCACGGGGCCCTCCTGGTCCTGCTTCCACTCCCAGGGAAGGGCTGGAGGGCAAGAGGGGCTCTCATTGCCTACAGCTCTCACCACAAATCCCTGCTCAGAGACCCCCACATGGACACAGGAGGGTCCCTAGGAAATACAAGCACCAGGTTTCTTTCCTCTGGGTTCTGGAATGTTCTGTGTGGATCCCAAGCCTCAGATCTATCTCCTCTGTGTTCTAGAATGCTCTGTGTGAACCTCAATCTCAGACCTGCTTCCTCTGTGCTCTGGAATGTTCCTTGTGAACCCTGCAAACCCAGATCTGCCTCATTTGTGTTCTGTAACCCGGGACCCTAACCCACCTGGCATGAAGCGCTTGTTAAGAACTTCAGGGGCCACTTTCTCCTCATGGACCTCCTGCAGCCTGCCAGTCCAGACCCACCCAGGCACCCAGGCCAGGAGACTTCTCCAAATATACCAGCCCTCAGAGCTCCCATGAGCTCTCCTTCCCCCGCAAACAAAGAACTCTTACAATTACACACTAACGGGCACCATCCTTGGCTGGGCAGTGTGTGGGGAGCCAGGACAGGTGGGGCCTGGGGGGAAGGCCTAGCAGCATGGTGAGTAGGGCCTGCAGGCCAGACCTTGCTGCTGAAGTCAGATGGTGGCTCTGAGCACTGCAGCAGGCATGGACCCCGCAATTTCCCAGAGCAGCCTTTACAGCCTGCAAATGTGGGCCTGGGGCTGCTGCAAGTTTCCACCTCCCAGCCCCCTACTCAGGGCAGCCCTGGCCCCTCCCATCCCTGGCCCAGGGCAGGTGTGAGCACCCCGGACTTGCCGTCCCTCTCAGGCTCCTGGGCCCAGCCTGGTACAGGACCCCACCCATAAGCTCCTGGTGCCCAGCCCAAGGCATCTCCGTCTGCTCCCCAACCCAGGATGCAAGTCCACAGTTGGGGGGAGGCATGGAGAGGAAGAGAGGCGGGGCAGGGTTGTAGAGGGCCAGGCCGCTGGATGAGCATGCCTGGTCCCAGAGGGACCCTGCCTGGACACCACCACATCCACCCCAACCCGAGTGAGCATCTCAAGGCAGAAGGAGAAGGGACCTTCTGGCCCTTCCATGGGGTGGCTGTGGGGAGGGAGGATGCGCCTGCTGCACTCTGCCTCTCCTGCCCCACCTGGCCCCACCCCGCCTCCACCCCACCAGCTCACCAATGTTGGAGTGCTTCAGCAGGCGGCAGATCCGAGCCTCTCTCTCCAGCTTCTGGTGATCTAGGGGCAGAAGAGAATCTGACGTCACCTCACACCCCAGCGGCCCGTGGACCACACTGCCAGGCCGGGAGATCCCCACATGGGTTTGCAGCAACCTCCAGGTGGCCTGAGGGAGGGGGTGTCGCCACTTGCCATTGCCTGGTTTCTGGGCAGCCACAGGTGTCCTGGGCGGGAAGCAGGGGCAGGTGGACTAACTTGGGGTTAAGGGGTTGCCCAGACCAAGTGACAGGCACTGGCATCACAGCCCGGAGCCCTCTCTTATTTGTCCACATCTACTTGCAGGAGCTTCCTGCTGATTTGGATCTGTTCCTCCAGACGAGGCAGGGCCAGCAGGACACGGTGGTGACAGCAGGGAGTGGGACCCTCAGGGCACTGCCCCTTGGCAGCTCCTCCTGGGTCCCCTTGGCAGCTCCTCCTGGGTCCCCAAGTAAGGAGCAGCTTGCTGGCCAGAGCCCGATCCTTCAGAGGTGCTGGGGTAAAGGTCACAGTGCAAAGCAACTCCCCAGCTCCGGCGGCCAGGGGGAGGGTGGGCACATGGCCAGCATGCCACCGTGCAGTGTAACCTGCCAGTGCCCAGATACCAGCAGCCTGTGAGGGCACTGACACCAAGGCCAAAGCCAGCCCATCCCTGGGGACCTGCCATACAAGGTGGTGCAGGCAAACAGGTGGATCTCCAGAGTCCAGGATGGCGCTTGCCTCCTGGGGGTGTGGCTGAGAAGGGGGAGCTGTCTGGACCCACCCTCCCACTGTACACCCTTGCTGGGTACTAGACCCCTCCTGGGGAATCCAGCACCTGATTCTACCGACCCTCCCAGGGGACTACCAGTGGTTCCTCTGGTGACAAAGAGTGGGTGACAGCTAAAAGTGACCAGCAGGAAGCATGACAGCTAGGTAATCTATGGTTTCTGCTCCCCAGGCACAGGGATAAGGAAAGCCTGGCCAGGTCATCTCTGGGGTGCAGGCCACACAACCTCACCAGTATGCCCAGCCTCCATGTCCAGCCCAACCAGCTCTGCATCTGGTACCTCACCCAAGGTACCTCCAGGCCTGAGGGGTCAGGCCTCACCCTGCGGCTGGACACCATAGCTTCCGGCCCTGCAAACATTCCAGTGGCAGGCAGTGCTGGTTCATCTCCCAATTGCTTAAGACTCAGCACCCCAAGTGGAGGCAGAGGCTAGATGCAGGCTGAAGGTGACGGGCTGGGTCTGTGGGGTGAACCTGGGCACAGCCACACACATGCATCCTCTGTACACCTGCCCCCCTGGGCTGGTTCGGGGATGCTCACCACGAGGAGCTGTGTATTCCCCCTTCCGGAGGAGCAGCCCACAGATATCACAAGGCGCTCATTTATACCCCTAGGAAAGCACTTATCAAAAACCACACATACAAAAACACGACACAAGACAAAACAAACAATTTTACTCCCAGATCCGTCTACACTGGAGCCTGCAATTACCCGCCCACCAGCCTGTGTTCAGATGACAGCACAACACCCTCCCTGCCCCGCCCCGGGGGAAGCCGGGCCCCCAGGCTTCTCCAGGTGATTTTGCTGGGATCTCCAGGCAGAGCCCTAGCCTGGTGCCTGCCCGCTTGTGCTGCCAGCTCCAGCTTGTGCTGCCAGCTCCGTGCCCTGGGTGCCCCTGAGGGCAGTAGGATGTGAGGAGGGGCCCAGTGCAGTGGGGGAACGCCCTAGTCGAGCCGTGCAGATCTCACACTGGGCTAATCCTTGGCAGGTAGACAGTATCCCACAGGCCTAGGGTGAGATTGGTGGCTGGCCTTCAAGGCCAAGGTCAGAAGCTCTGTGTTGATCTTAGTCCCCATACTCTCCTGTGGCTGGGGATCAAAGCCTATGTTCACAACACAGCTCTCCCTACTGACCTGGGTGGCCATGGCCGTGTCCCAGGCTCTCCTCCTTCATGTCTCAGCCTCCTGCAGGACTCAAAGGGATCCCAGCAGGCAGGGGTCACCTGCCTGCAGTGGACTGAGGCAGGCAGGTGCACCTGCAGCAAGGACATGCTCCAGGCTGTGGCCACTTGGACGTGGCAGCCTGTCCTAGGGGAACCACAGCCCTGCAGAGCACGTGACCAACACACAGGCCCTGGGGCCTTGGGCCCAGCTCTTAGGGGTCTGCAACCAGGGCTCTGTTGGGCTGTGCTTGGGGTATTGCTCAGGGTCATCCTGTAAGCTGAGGGTACTGGAGGCGACGGCAGTCTCAAGGACTCTGGGGCCCCTGCTGTGGGAGGCCCCATCAGAGCAGAGGATGGGGAAGCAGGAGCCAGCTCTAGGCTACCAGGTCTGAGGCAGCTTGGCAACAGCACAGCAGCCCCATCCACATTGCCATCAACACCTGTCAGGAAGGAGGGTCTAACAGGGCAAAAGCCACAAGCCCAGGACAAGCCTGCTCTTTGGTAAAAATCTCTCCCCTCTGTCTCCCCTCGTGCAGCTGGGAATGGAGCCGGGGGAGGGCTCCCCATCTGCTTCCAGCAACGGTGGCAAACAGCAGGGTGGGTGTGGTGGTGCCTGCCCCCAAGATGCAGGCCTGCCACTGGGAGAATGTGGAGCTGTGGAGATGTCAACAGGGAGGCCACAGGGGCGGTGGACAGTGACACTCTGTGGAGCGGGGGTGGCTGGAGGTGCCTTGATGGCCAGGACCACATTCCAGGACTCAGGCCCTGCCCAGAGAGCTACAGCTGCACCCAAACCCACTGGAGCTCTCAGGCCCCTTCACCGAAAAGCTGGGAAAGGTGTGCACCCAGCATCGCTGTTCCAGAGTTCACTCGACTGCCCCATCAGCACTCCTCATGCCCTCAGCCTCCTTGTAGAGCTGGGAATGCATCTGTCCAACACTTGGGGCTCTGGCAGGACCAGGGGCCCCACTCCCCTGATCTGCAAGGCATGCCCAGCCTGCCACATGGGTCCTTTGCCTGTCTCAACCACTTGCACCGTCCAACAGTGTTGGGGCATCTTAGAGTATTGGATGGCTGCCGACACTCACACCGCACCAGCAGGTGCACCCATGCACGTCTGCTCTCAGCGCACACCACTCACATAGCCCCATCTGCCCCAGCTGGACCCGATGGCACACGCAGGGCTCAGCGGTCAGCCCTTGTGGACAGTCGGGCCAGAGTCATGGAACATCCTGGGCCTTTACAGCAGGCCTGAATCCACATCCTGCCCACCACAGCCTTTGGCACCTGCCAATACTGGCATGGCGTAGGTGGTTCCAGGTTGGGCCCAGGCAGGTCAGTGTGGAGAAAAGAGACAGCTTGCCTGCTAGACCCAGGTTCAGCTGGTGCAGGGGCCCCAAGCAGCTGTGGGCAGGTCCTGGCTGCTCTTCCTAGGAAGCAAATGACCCTGAGAATGGGCACAGAGCTTGCAAACAGCTATGGCGCCTCAGCAGTCAGGACCCCAGGCACAGGCGCAGGGAGGCCTAGGAGGAAGGGGCTGCACCCTGGGGAAGCCACTTCATCAGCAACCCCCTTCCTGCTGGGGTACTTCTCCAGGGTGGCATCAGAGCTGACCCCAAGTATGGTGGAGCTGGCTCCACTATAACTCCTGCCTGCCCTTCCTCTGGGGCCAGACGGAGGCCGAGGCAGAGGCAGTCACCCCCACATGCCACTGTCCTGGGATCCTGGGCATGCCCAGCTCCACCTGCACAGCTGCCTGCCTGGCAAGAGATGCAGAAGAGCTGCAGGGAGCCTGTGCTGGCATTTCGCGCACATTCGGTGACAAGAAGGCAGCTCGGCAACCGGCAATTACCCCACCAGTGAGAGCAACACACGCAGGCGCAGGAGGCACCAGCCGCTCTGCTGGCTTGCAGCTGTCTCCCCTCACGGCCGGGGGAGGCAGGCCAGGGTCCATGTGCTGGGCAGCTTGCCCGGACAGGACTCCCAATCAGCTTAGGGCACAAGCTGGAGTTTCCGGTTTTGCCACCCAGCCAGGAAGTAGGGCTGATGGCTTATGTGCTGGTGGCCAGCTTTTCTCCCTGGGGACAGGGCCTCCCACACTCAGGGCCCAGCTCAGCCCAGCCCAGCCTGCCATAAGTGGGGACCCTACTGCTCTCTGCGCTGGACTCAGCTCTCTGGAGGTAGAGCAGCCACCAGGACCCAAGGCTGGTCTCAGAGGAGCTCCCCAGGCCCCCACGCCTACCCACATGCCCCGTGCCCCACCTCTGCCGCTGTCCCCACTCAGTAGATCCTTCATGTCCTTTCCTGGAGTGGCCCAGGCAGGCCTCTCCAGCAGTTGGAGCAACAGGCCAGGGCAGGGCCCAGGTTATGCCAGCTGCCCAGGCCTCAGGCCCCTCCCACTCCTGCCAGGTGGAGATGCCTGGCACGAGCTCTGCTGAGGATGGGCTGGGAGTCCCCGTATCTCGCAGCTTCTCCCTGTGAGTGGGAGGTCCCCAACAATGTGTTCCCTTACTGCCTCTGGCCCTAGAAGTCCAGGACCCATGCCATCTGGGTGTCCCTCTGCCCTTGGCATCACTCAGCTCTCATGTTCACTCCAGCCTCCAGCCCACACAGCTCCTCCATAACCTCCCAGGACCCCTGCCAGCTGGCATTTGGACCTATGGTCACTGCAGGGCCCCGCTGCCCAGTGAGGGCTTCTGTGGGCATCTATGGGTGCCCTCCCCAGCCCTATACAAGGCCACAGGTGACACCAATGAGTTGGGGGCCAGGAGCCCTGGTGCCAGGATCCAGGGAAGCCGGCCGCTGCCTAGGAACAGTGGTGAAGCCAGGGTCTCCCCCAGTGTGCAGAGGCCCCCAGAGTGGCTCCCTAAGGTCACCGTGCCCCAGTCAGGGCCCTCAGGTGTGCCAGCCTCAACCACATGCCCCCTGAGGGAGGCACCTCAGGACCCAAGTTCCAGGGACACCCCTGTGAGGAGCAGGGGACACCCCTTTGGGACTGAGACAGGAGGAGAGATAGCATGTGGGGTCTGGGCCCCAGGCTGCAGATCCGGACAGATGTGTACAGCACTGCAGCAGGCAGAGGCCACCTTCTCTTGCTGCCGCGTGTCCCAGGCACCTGAAACATGCTGGGTCCCCATTATTCACCATAGCCCTCTGGTGGCCAAGCAGGGAAGGGAGACACCCCTGCTGGCCTCAAGGCCACCTCCATCCACCTGTGTCCAACCCGTGCAGCCTTACAGAGCAGCTCTGTGGGCACCTCCCTGTGAAGGATCCACCAGCCTCAATCCCCACCAGTGTCCTGCCTGGCCTCAGGCTCCTCCTGGAGGACCGGAGGTGGGGAGGGAGGGGGCTGAAGGATGCCTTGCCCAACCTGTGACCCCAGCCTAGGTTCAGATCTATTTTTAGATGCCCAATGGGGTGGCTAGTGCTGTGCCAACCCACCCACTCTGTGCTCACCAGCCCCCACCTTCTCCACCTTGGAGAGGCCAGCTAGACCCCTGCCTCACTCCCTACTGATCCAGATCTCTGCCATATCGCTAGGGAACTTGCTAAGCCTGGTTTCTGACTTTGTCATGTCAGCTTTGCAGGCCCAGGGCCTGAGACCCCTGCCCTGCAGACAAGGACCTGTCTGCCCCATCACCAGGACTCCAGCCAGTCCATGCACCTGCAGCAGCTCTGGGTCCCCAGGCTCTGCACAACCACACATGCCAGTAGTGATAGGACAGGGCCACCCCAGCCTCTGGGGCAGAGACCCCAAGAGGCACAGCTAGGGGAGGATGTCTGACCCAAGCAAGCAGGTCACAGTCCTGGGTTCATGGGAAGGTTCCACATCCTGCCTCCCACTCCCCAAGACACCCAAGCCCCACCCCGCCCGCCGGGGAGCTGCGGCAGGGGACCCAGGCCTACCTCTGGCTGACAGCTTCTTGGTGTTGATGATCTTGGCCGCATACTCGTGGCCGGTGCAGAGCTTGACGCAGCGGCGGACCACAGAGAAAGCCCCCCTGGAAGGAGGAAGGAGAGGGAGAGAGCTGGTTTAGGTCCCATGGAGCAGCCAGGATTCCCCCACTGGCCAGGCCTTGGCAGACCACGCCCAGGCAGTCTGCGTTCTGCTGCCACGCTCCCGGCCACCCTCCCTGGCTCCAGCAGGACAGGGCCCTGCTCTGGGGCAGCTTCTGCTGGACACACCCCTGTGGGGGCTATGAGAAGGAGGAGCAGCTGTGGTTTCGGGAGCTGGCCCCCATGCAGCTCCACTCCAGGGACTCCACTCTAAGTGTGCGGGCCCCTGGTGGGACTCCTCCCCTCCCAGGGAAATAAAGTGCCGAGCAGATGCAGACAGCCAGACACACAGCAGGTGCTAGAGGGAGGGAGAATCATCATCTCAGAGCAACCTTGGCCTCCCCACTCAGGGCACGCCCTCTGCTGCCCCAGGCCCGACAGCCAGGGGCTCCAAGCAGAGGGGCGCAGCACAGCCACCCCCTCAGGCAGCATCATGGTGACAAGGGGCCCCGGCCAGTGTCTCGGGCTCCTGTGAGTTCCTGCCTAGCCTGTCTTCCCAGCACTTGCACACGCATGGACTGCACTTCACAGTGTCCCAGGCCTGACCACTCCACTTCATGGTGCTTGGGCCTACCCCTCCCTGCACAGTCATCCATGGCCAGCCCACACAAGTGCTGGAGTCAGGACAGCTCCTGGCTTACAACAAGGATACAGGACAGACCCTGGCAGCTCAGGCCAGCTGGGAGAGTCGAGAGGAGGGACCGTGGTACCTGTCCAGTCCAGCACATAGGATGAGAGCAGCCACAGAGCTGCAGAGATGGTGGGATGAGGCCAGTGCCAGAGAAAGGACCTAGAGGAGTCCCTGAGGAAACCAGCAGGGTAGTGGAGCCCAGGGGTGAGGGGCACCCATTCCAGCAGGACCTAGCGATGCACCAGCATGGGGCCAGGTGAAGCCTCGGTTCTCTCACGTTAGGCTCCAGCAGGTGGTGGCTACCTCCCACTGTTGCTCTGTCAAGGGCATCCTGGTCAGGGTGGCCAGTGTGCCATGGGTCCCCGGCTGTTGGAGGTGTCCTCTAGCCAGGCTGCAGGCAGTGGGAAGGGATGCTGGCAGCTTGCTCAGAGCATGTAGGAGGCCCCCAGTACCAAGCACGCTCTGCAGCTTTTGAAATCAAATCAAGCTGATTAAAACCAGATGCTGCCTTTGCGCCCCTGCCTCTCACTGCTCAGCGCCACCTCCCTGTTGGCAGTGGGAGCCACAGCAGCGGGGCTGAGGTAGGGACTGGCCTGGGGGACCAGGACAGCATACGCCCCAACATGCTATTCCGGCCCACGTGGGGCTCAAGTGAGGCTCAGGGCATCCCTGACCCCAGCTGTCCTTGGGCTGTGGTTCTCAGCTGTGTCCACGTGCCCGCCCTATCCCAGCAGCAGCTGCCTCCCTTTCCGCCATCACCCGCAGCTCCCACCAGCCCCCAAACAGCACCCGCAGCCTAGGCCCACCTTGCCCTCTACCAAGCCCGGCTGCTGGCCACAGCCCTGCCCGGTCACACAGGCTGCCTTATGGGCTCACACAGCCTGAAGTCTGTGCTGGGACTGGAGGGGCTGAGTGGGGTGTCAGGGGGGTGGGGCTCCTCATCACGGGGAGACCTGGGTACCCCAGAATGCTGGCTCTTGCTGCAGACATTAGGGCTGGCACCATCCTGTGTGGGAAGATGGTCTGACCTTTCCCGCCAGACCACATATACATGAAATGAAGGAACCACCGGGGAAGCTGGTGGCAGGCCTGGCACCTACATGGCTGGTCCCCCATTCTGCTCCCAGGTCCCAGGAAATCTCTCAGGTGCCCAGAGCCAAAGGAACACCGCCATCTGTGCCTCCTCTGCGGGTGTGCGTGGGCAGCAGGCACTTCCCCTGCTCCCCGGCCCAGCATCCATTACACATGCACAGCACACCTCATTACCCATGGTGTACATCACACACACACCTTGCATCTCACACAGGCACATGCACACTGCAGGACCGACTGCAACTGTCTAGCCACGATGACAGCCCAGGGTCCACATGTTGACCTGTCAGCCCACAGCGAGGCCACACATGGAGTCGACAGAGCCTGGGAGTGTCTAACGCTGAGATCCGCTTTGAAAACCACACTTTCTCATCTGATTTCCTGTCTGAGGTCTCCCATGGGGCTCAGGAGCTACCTTCTAATGAAAGGCACAGCCCCATCACTGGATCTTTCCCTCTGAGAGAGAGAGAGAGAGAGAGAGAGAGAGACCTTCCCTTTGCTGGTTCGTTCCCCAAAATGACCACAAAAGCCAGGGCTGGCCTGGAGCCAGGAGTGACAGGCCCAGGAGTGGCAGGAGTGGGCAGCAGTGACAGGCCCAGGAGTAGGCAGCAGTGACAGCCCCAGGCTCTTGGGTCATCCTCTGCTACTTTACCAGGTTTTGCATTCCGGGTGATCTTCCCTCCAGCAGTGGACAGTCCACCGTCTGTCACCCAGCCTTCCCAAGTTCTTCCTGGAGTCTGGGCAGCTCACAGAGTCCCTCACGGGGCCCCTGAAGCTCTCTCCTCCTGGGCCCCGCGGCACAGCACACCCTTCACTATCAGTACCATCCCTGGCTCTTGATTAATCATCCCTCTCTTCCTTTAGAACCACCTGTGTCCCCACGCGGGTTTGGGGACACTGTCCCTCTGGACTTCGGCAGGAACCCCATCCCTTAGCAGCTCACACCTGTGGCTGACCTGCTTCCCAGAGGGCAGGTCGCAGGGGAGATGCTTGGTTCAGGGCCTCACCAGCACCCCTCAGGGTACACAATTCAGCCCTCAGCCTGGGCTCACCCCCAAGGCTGCCATGGTGGGGCAGGTGGACACGTCCCCAGTCTCGGCCCCCATGAGGCATCACTGCACCCACCCAGTCAGGGCCCCCTGTGTGGCCTGCACATGCTCCCTCCCTCCTGCACGTCTCGGGGCCTTCCTCGGGGGGGCCTGCCCTGTGGCAGGCAGGTGCCCTCTCCCACATGACCACGGAAATCTCCATGCCCAGAAGGCTGTGGGGGCTGGCATGGGGGCTTGTGGCTTCCTGCTCCTGACTCCATCTGCAGCCCTGCAAGCCCACAGGAGGCCAGGTGCTTCTTTCAGACGACCCAGGGACAAAAGGTCACCAAGGACATAACCACTTCTATGATGGCAGGTGCATCCCAGACCAGGAAAACAGTAGCAGTGTGTGTGTGTGGGGGGGCGGGGCAGCCCACCCTGGCTTCCTGGATCCTAGGTACCCCTCCCACCAGAGCCCTCTCCCTGGGGAGCCTGGCCTCAGGCCAGCAACCCCCTGCAGGAGGGCAGAAGTGGGTACAGCTGAGGGAAGAGCAGGGATTCCCTCTTGTGGTCCAGCAAGGGGGTGCAGAGGCTGAGCGCGCCTCCACCACTGTCACTTTTGCTAGCCAGCTCAGTTGTCCCACATGGCATGTGGGATGAGCCTGGCTCTGGCACTGTGTTGGGGCCTGCAGAACTCCTCTCTCACAGGCGGGACCTGCCTCCCAGGCTGCCTTGGCTGACACACACAGTGGCCAGCAGCCACTGGCCCATGAGGCCCTGCCCACCTGCCTCACCAAAGACACCACCTACCAGGGCACTGGGAGGCCTGTCCACTACTCACGGTGGGGGCAGGAAGGCAGGGTGGGTGGTGGGGACCAGGTCACAGGTGTCCTGGGCTGCTGCTGATATGTGAGGCCCACAGAGGGGACTAGCTGAGGCTCCCCAGCGGCTCCATCCCTTGTCCCAGTGGAAGCCTGGAGACACTGAGGAGCAGATGAAGCCCTATGGCACAGAAGAGGCTCTTGGTCATTGTTTAGTAATGTCTGCCCTGGTACTACATGGGGTGCCAGGGCCATGTCTCACGCAGTCTCCATTCTGACCTAGAAAAATCCTCCTGTCTTTCCAGCCTGTGCCTTTCCATCATCCCCCCAACTGGTACAAGTCCCACCTCCTGGTCTCTGTTCTCTCTCCCATCACAGCCCAGGCAATTGATGGGTGAATTTGCCCTTGATTGTGGTGATGGACCCTTCCTGGGTGAGGCACCCAGCAGAGACACCCCTCTCCAAGACAGCTCAACGAGTTTCTCCAGCCCTGGTTTCTATTCCCCAGGGGCATCCAAAGCCAGCCAGCACCTGAGCCATCACTCACCCATGCACAGGAGGCACAGGCACATGAGGACGACCCTCCTGGGACACGGCGTTGTGCCCACCCCTGCTGGTCCACAGTGTCTGTGCCCACCCCTCCTGAAACACGGTGTCGTGCCCACCCCTGCTGGTCCCTGGGGGCACTGCGTCCGATGCAGCTGCGGCTGAGAGTGGAGCGAGGGGACACACACCCCTAGCTGCGCTCTGGGACAGAGGCAGTCAGGGCCTAATGGCCAGGCCCATGGTTCTGGACTCAGAGAAGCCAAGGAGGGAGGAAAGGGTTTGTGGGCTTTAATCAGGAAGACCTGGGATGAGTGATACACGTCACACAGGTGACATGTTCGAGCAGCAGGTGCATACCTCAAAGCACATCAAGAAAGGACTTCCAGGCAGATTTATTCATCTATGTATTTGAAAGTCAGAGTTACAGAGACGGGGGGAAGAAAAAGAGAGATATCTTCCATTTACTAGCTCACTACTCTAATGAACACAACGGCCAGGGCTGGACCAGGCCAGAACGAGGAGCCAGGTGCTTCCTCCAGATCTCCCAAACACTTAGGCCACATTCCATGGCTTTTCCAGGTGCCTTAGTAGGGAGCTAGATCAGAAGTGGAGCAGCTGGGATCCGAACTGGCGCCCAAGTGCAATCAGTCATCATGGGGTCGAGGCTCAGCTTAGTGAGGCACAGGAGCCCGAGCTGCCCTGCATGGGTAGAACTGGGCCAGGGTCTAAAGGGAAGCCCCCTCAAAGGGAGAGGAAATGGCATCACTCTGGCCTATGGAGGCCAGAGACCCTAGGACCTTGCCATGGCTACTCACTACAACCCGTCA